TGCGAAGCCATAATGATAGCTCCAAAATGGCCAAATCAACCTTGGTTCACGCAAATTCTGGAACTTCTAACGGACTACCCAAGAACGCTTCCAGTGTCTCAAAAACTACTAAAAATGCCAAAGACAAGCATGTTTCACCAGACTCCGGAAATATTTGCCCTTCACGCCTGCAGATTGTCAACGACACCCTCAAAAAACAAGGCTTTTCTACAGAAGTGTCTCTTCGAATCTCAGAATCATCAAGGAGGAAATCCACAAATAAACTCTATGATTCCAGGTGGAACACCTTCACTGTTTGGTGTTATGAACGGAATTCAGATCCATGCCAAGCAGATATTCCTCTAGTGGCAGAGTTTCTACTATATCTTCACCAGACTAAGAAACTTTCAATTCCTACCATTGAAGGATACAGAACTGCCATTAATACAGTACTGAAAAATCATCTGATATCGACTTGACTGATAATTCCCTCATAGGCGATCTTATCAGATCTTTTAAACTGGAAAACCTGACACCAAGGAACATGGTACCTAAATGGAATCTTGTATTTGTTCTTAATGCTTTATCCAAAGCACCCTTCGAACCTATGGCCACAGCGGAACTTAAATTCACATCATGGAAAACACTCTTTCTTTTACTCATGGCTTCAGGAAAGAGAAGAAGTGATATACATGCACTCGACTTCAGACGTTTAAAATGGTCAGAATCCAGGGACCAAGTAACTATGTATCCCTTCATAGGATTTCTACCAAAGTCACTATCAGCTGCAGAAGGAGAATCTCGCTTTCAACCAATCCTCATTAAAGCTCTCACCACACTGGTGAATAGAGACTCTCCAGACAGGACACTTTGCCCCCTCAGAGCTCTACGTTACTACCTTCAAGCCACAGTCTCAACAAGGGGCAACCGAAATAGACTGTTTATACCATACAAAGCCGGATATACTGGAGATATACACGTAAACACTATATCTTCTTGGGTGAAAAATCTGATCTTGTGTACTTACAAAAATTCACAAGAAACAGATTACCAAATCAACTCTATTAAAACCCACGAAACCAGGGCCTTATCTGCAAGCCTTGCTGTTCAAGCAAATCTGTCAGTTACTGCAGTTCTCAAAGCCTGCTCATGGGCAAATCACAACACATTCACCAGCTTCTACCTACGAGATACATCAGTGATCGAGGGAGAACTGCGGAAATTAGGCCCTATGATGGTTGCAGGCTCACTATACAACATATAGCATCTTCAACAGCCTTGTGGTGAGTCATCATCATTAAACATTCTTATGATTTTATAATGTAAATTATTTAGAATGTTCTACTTGTTGGTTTGTGGGTCCCTCTGGTTTAACTGAATTCACCCACCTCCTTTTCGGCTACATTCAGGCATATAATTGAGAGGTGGGATGTGTAATAATACTGGGAAAATCCTTTTTTAATTGATTTTCCTGTTTATAAACATACCCACCTCTCAATTACCAAAGTCCCACCCGACCTCCCCACTATTCATTAGGGGGAATAGGGAAATTGAGGACGTTGGCACGTGTACAAACTACTTTATTCAATAGTGGACGCGTCCAAGTTAATGTCATCAGTAAAACCAGAGGGGTGTTAGGACTCCATACAGAGATTGCTAAAGGAATCTAAGGCATATAATTGAGAGGTGGGTATGTTTATAAACAGGAAAATCAATTAAAAAAGGATTTTCCCAATTTTCTAGAACAGGTAGCTGTCTATGGTAGCTCTCTCCAGGTTAATTTATCTCAAAATAATTAAAATACTATGCCAGCATTCACATACATAATCCAGAAACTCTCAGAATCTTTACTTCAAAGATTGGCTGTATTTCATAAACAACGAACGTGCCACTGCATCATCAGTTCAATAGTAGTGACAGCAGAGATATAAATTCAGAAGATAATCACAAGGCTTGCAAGATAGCATGTAATAAAGGCTAATACATCACGATTAGTAGCCAATATTTTACCCATGAATACCTACGATATTCATACTTTTTCAGATAAAAGTATAGATGATATATTTTGGTCTGAAATAAGTGTTAAATAACATTTAAGGATGTGTCTGTAGACCTGTAGGAATTGCTAAGAATTGTAGCGTATAGAATGCAGTTGACACCCTGCATGACCATACTCCTGAGACAGAGAAAGGGAGGCATAAAATACACTGGAATTTGTACAATACTGTAAATGTACCATTCATCAAAGGTAGCCCTGGATATATTCGGTTTAGAAGCCAATTGTATCTTCATGAAATCTCACCAATATTGGAGTCAAACAATGTATCCTTAAAAATTGGTCTGCCATACAATACATGACAGATTCATGGTTGTTGTCAACAGCAGGCAAAATTCGATTCTATTGTGTTTTCATATTTGTCAAATATCCAAACTGACTATTAACAGCTTCATAACAACAATAAAAAAGCAAATCACAATAAATGATGACTGTTGTTATTTAAGCTAGAACATTGTGACATACAAACCACACCTTTTTAAGCACCTTTTTCTATATCATGCATGTAATGAAGTCTGGCTTCAGGCTGAAAAAGTAGAGGTCTTGGGTTCAAACCCAGGTCACAGCACTTCTTGTGATTTGTCTTTGACCTATGACTGCTGACCTATACTGGCGATTACTAGAGTGCTGCTAACTCGATAAAAGGCTGGCGCTGGCTAGAATTGTCTATGGTTCTAGCCAGGATAAAGATACCAGTTCTTCAACTCGACAATGGGAAGAACTGCTCTACCTTAGTGACTAATATGTCATGATATGACATCTAAAAAGTCAATAAAAGATATATATATATAATGGAAATTCCGTTTTGTTAGGGAACTCGTTCACTCATTTCCCTGGTAATATTTTAATAATGTCATGTGGATTTACTTCTAAACCTATTGGTATCGTTTGACAGAGATCTCTGTTAATCTCCACATTGCATGATTCCATTTGAGGCCAAATTAGGCCTTGTTATTTGTTTGTAATTTAAAGCATGCTCTATCAGTATGTCTCTCATTACAAAAGGTATTTAACATAAATCACACAGAGCTAGGCATATCAAGACTTTTTTAATAAATGATTTCATTGGTTATCCCTTGCCATATGCTATATACTAATAAGTATACTTAAAATAGATATAGAAGTGAGAAATGAAATTATTTAAAATGTTGAGTCGTGATTTTCTTGGTACTTCAAATTAGAAAATAAATTCCATGCTTGAATGCTTAAATCTGTGACTTATTTTGACATTACTGAGTGCATTGTGACTTATTATTAAAGCCTATAATGAACTCTTTTTAAATGTGTTACATGCTTTTTTCATGAAACAATATACAGCATTCATACTTTGGTGTCTTTAAGTCAATCTACAAATCACTTGTGATCCTTTTACAACATAAAATAAATTTCTGAAGAATTTAGTACTCTTAGTTGCTGGTTTTGTAAAAGAACAGTAATCTAATCAGAAGAATAGATTGTCAAGAAATTTAGATAATCTTTGAAGTTCTTCAAGCCTTTCAGATGTTCAGTGATTGAGTCAAAACCTATATTGGCGTCTTAAACTCTTAAACTTCATCAGGAATTCAATTATTTGAAGTAATGAAGCATCTTTGCATGGAGATTGGGGTCAAATAGACCTGGCATCCTCATAACATTTATCATGATAATCAGGTCATGGTGCTTCTATTGTTTCATATTACATTACAGTTTTCAACTGGATGTCAGTAGGAATAAGAACATGTCAAATTATAATGACATTTAGTCAGACTAACTACAAAATACAAAAATATAAAGTAAATACAGCAGGATAAAATATATTATTCCATAGTTAGCATGATATTCATAGGATAACATGTCAAAATAAAAATGGTATTTTTGTAATCAGTGGTAAAATATGACATTTTTGACAAATTTTCACTTGACCATAGCATACAGTGTTTAAGCCATGACATACTGCGCCGTATGCTATGAATTATGGATTTTTGCTACTTAAGACTCAAAACGAGGCTAAGTGTCAACCTCGCCGGATCGTTTGGAAAATTTAAATTAAATCACTTAATTTCCGACGATTCTAATGATGACTTTTAACTATGGAATAAAAAGAACATCCTCTTTCTACCTGATATGACACATTATATATATGATGATTGATGAAAATGATTTAAATAAAAAATATGTCTGAAAAATTTAGTTTGTGAAGGGCTCAGTCAATTTATATTATATTTAAAGGCTCACTATACTTAATTTAGAAGAAAAGAAAAAATGATAATTGAAACATGTTACTTCCACCCTCCCTCAAATATGCAACAAAGTTTGATTTGCTTTAATATTAAACCAAGACAAAAATAACTCAAACAGAAAAAAAGCATTTGAAGTTCAGAGATCATTAGTAGTGCACGTACATGCTAAACAAAGTGCATGTTTTAAATTACTTTTGATTTAAAAGATGGCGACACTTCTATAAAAATGAATGTATCATGTAATACAAACAACTTTGCCATCTTTCAATGACATTGATAAAAATTTGATATATGAAGCTTAACAGATCGAAAATATTTTTTGATTAGTTATTGTAAGCTTTGATGTGGTTTGTTTGAGCTGTTGTTGGTGTCAAATAAAATATAAGGGTCTTATCAATACATTGGACATTCTATAAAATTCAAATGTAAGTCTTTATTTTGCCTAAAACATTGAAAATACGCAAAGTTGACCTTTAAGTATTTAAAAATCAGAATAAAACCTACATCTTACAACCTACAACACATAGTAAGTAAGTGAAGTACATGTCTATAATATGTTGCAATATTTAATGTTACAGGGTCTCTGTTACTCCTACTTCAAGACTATAATATGCTGTAATGTTGTCTGTTGCAGGGTCTCTATTACTCCTACTTCAAGACTATAATATGCTGTAATGTTGTATGTTGCAGGGTCTCTATTACTCCTACTTCAAGACTATAATATGCTGTAATGTTGTATGTTGCAGGGTCTCTATTACTCCTACTTCAAAACTATGATTGGTGCACCTACTGTGATGGATGGTCTGAATCAGATCATGTATGACAACGGCACAGAGTTCCCACTCACCATTAACACACTGAAGAGATTTAACTTATATCCCGAGGTATGTAGAATGCATACAAAATGTCAAGCATAAACTATATATAAATAGCTAGATTTAGATGTATGCGCATGGTTTTAACAACTGTGATTCATGGTGCTTTACTGTATGGGTCATATAATGTTATTGTAGGTGGTAGTGGGTATACTATTTAGAGGATTCACAAGCATCACTACACATTTTAAAATTCACACAAAGACCTGTTGGAACATTAACAGGGGAAAGGACTTATCCCCAGTACAGAGTTGTGAGGGTGAGTTTCTACAATTTTAAACCATTTAAGATTAAGATATTGTGCAATAAAACCTCTCTAATCCGAACACCTCTTATCTGTGACCAGCAAAAAGTGTTCAGATTAGCAGGTGTTCACATTTCAAGGTTTTATAAATGTATAAACATGTAAATCAATGGGAGACAACAAATTTGGGACCAGGAAAAAGGTGTTCACATTGTGAGGTGTTCGGATTAGAGAGTTGTTCGGATACATATCATGCTTCTTGCTTTTCTATTTCTCATTCAATATATAGGGGAAGTCATTCATTTTTTTAGTTCTCTTCATCTTGAGACATCTTGAAAATACAGCAGCTGCTCAAACAATTAAACTTAAAAGGGTCAATGATCTGAAGACAGAATAAATGCCTTAATAGCATGAGGTTGTTGCATTATCTCTTGCAATTAAGAATGTGTTTTATCTTGAGAACAATATAAATTTGAATATTCTGTTATTTCAGGTATAGGAGATCCTGCCTACTTCTATATAGAGCATGTATTCTTCCTGAATGGTCTCATGATGTCTTGTTTCTTTCTGTTATTTCAGGTATAGGTGATCCTGCCTACTTCTATATACAGCATGTATTCTTCCTGAATGGCCTCATGATATCTTGTTTCTTTCTGTTATTTCAGGTATAGAAGATCCTGCCTACTTCTATATAGAGCATGTATTCTTCCTGAATGGTCTCATGATGTCTTGTTTCTTTCTGTTATTTCAGGTATAGGAGATCCTGCCTACTTCTATATCGAGCACGTATTCTTCCTGAATGATCTCATGATGTCTTGTTTCTTTCTGTTATTTCAGGTATAGGAGATCCTGCCTACTTCTATATAGAGCATGTATTCTTCCTGAATGGTCTCATGATGTCTTGTTTCTTTCTGTTATTTCAGGTATAGGAGATCCTGCCTACTTCTATATAGAGCATGTATTCTTCCTAAATGGTCTCATGATGTCTTGTTTCTTTCTGTTATTTCAGGTATAGGAGATCCTGCCTACTTCTATATCGAGCACGTATTCTTCCTGAATGATCTCATGATGTCTTGTTTCTTTCTGTTATTTCAGGTATAGGAGATCCTGCCTACTTCTATATCGAGCACGTATTCTTCCTGAATGATCTCATGATGTCTTGTTTCTTTCTGTTATTTCAGGTATAGGAGATCCTGCCTACTTTTATATAGAGCATGTATTCTTCCTGAATGGTCTCATGATGTCTTGTTTCTTTCTGTTTGGCACGTATATCAGGTAAGGAAAATTACCATGGAAAAATTATCATACAATAATACACAGAGACAATGTCTGATGTCACCTGTATTGAAACTTCAGGCATTGAACCCAAATGAGCATTTGATAATTATCTTAACCTTTAATCAATAGGTTTTTTTCGTGAATACAAACACACATATGTATAATGAATAGACAGGGTTGGGGCAAGTTGCCTTCTAGCATTTCATGTCCCAATATAAAAATTCACAATAGAGAGTGTAATGCAGGATTCAAACAAAATTTGGACAAATATAAAATAAACATCTGTTGAATACAATAGTTCTGTTCAAGAAAATGGATTGAGTTGCTGCTGTTTATCATATTACCTTAACTGTTGTATCTAGTTGAAAATGTACTTTGTAGTTGTACTTAGAAACCCATAAAACCACATCCTGGCCAGTCAGTTTTGGCAATGATTATATTAGATGGAGTATTCCTTGTATTGATGAAGAAATATTAATTTTATTATTTCTTTTCAGTGGGAGTATATTTGGAGGTTTGATCTCAGTGTGTTCTTTCTTCTTCAACCATGGTGAGGTGAGTATGACAACGAGTTTCTTCTATATAATGAGTGAACAAATTGCAAACATTATTTTGATTAATGAACCAACTGTAAATTTGTAAATTCTCCAAAATAATAATTTATCCACATCAATAGAAACTTGACATTAATCTGTAAAAACTATATGACACAACAGTATACTGTACTATGGGCCTTGAAAGTCAATAAAGGTACTTTTAATCGAATTCCAGAAATCAATGTGGGGTTCTATTTCAGGCCACCAGAGTACAATGGACTCCTCCACTCAGGGAAAGCTTTGCATATCCTTTTCTAGTTATTGAAATGCTGCTGGTAACACACATTCTAAAGTAAGTAGAATAAAACTGTTCAAGTATAGTAATGCTAAATGTAACTTTATTTTGAAAATATATATTATTGTGTGCTTGCATTTGGGTACTTTAATTCACATACAAATCACAATTGAATGGTATAGAACATTTAGCCACTTTGAATATCAGTATTTCAATATTCATAATCAGTTAAGAGTATGTTACAGAATGATGATGGAGCATAAACCATTAAGAAAATAGAAGGAATGGAGAGTGTGAAACATCGTAAACTTTCCATAAATCATGCCTTTATAATCCTAATTCTATTTTCTGAAAGAGTACCTGATCAAAAAAGAACTTATTGAAGATTCCAGTTACAGTGAGACATCCTTTTTGCAATTTTTTGTCAGATAAATTTAAAATCAAAAGATTACTCTGTTATACATTCAGAAACTGTTGGAATTTGGCATGGCATGGAATAACGAGATCACAAAATATTTTTTCAAATTGTTACCATTTTTTGAAAACTCGCCCATCTCTATCCATTGTACTCCTTTTTATTAATCATTTTGTGTTTTTATTCTGCAGAATACCACGTCCTCAGCTGAAGCACAGCATTCTCCTTGCAATCTCTACAATGAGCTTTATGCTTCCATGGCAGGTTAGTAAGAAACATTGATGGTATATGGCATGGAGGAATAAATAAATAGGATTGGCATAAAATCTAAAAGAGAGTTGAAAATGTGAAATAGATGGTTCTCATATTAAAGCATTTGACATTCAAATATTTTTACAGTGAAAATAAAAATTAATTGTTGCCAGGAATGAAATATACTGAAACACTTAATCAAGATATTCTCCCCTTACGTCACTATTGTGACAAATATGCTCAAGTTCCTCCAGTCCAGTGTGACCTGCCATTGAAATACATTGGATTCAAATATTTCCTGAGAAGTTCTCCTGATCTAAGTCATCAGACTACGTTATATATTGTACATCTCCCTTTCCTCTCTGAATATTTTGACCAACAGCAAATTCTGATTTTTAAATTTATTTTATGGACTCTTATTTTTCAGTTTGCTCAGTTCTGTTTGTTGACACAAGCAGTAGCTGTGTTTGGGACGTATGTTCTACAGTATATTGGCTCTCACAAGTTCAAGGTCATATTGAACGGCCTATCACTGGGTCTCGTACTAAGTTATGGTTTCCTATTTGGGAATGAGATGCTCCTGACATCTTTCTTTGCTGCTTGTTTGGTTACTTTACATGTAAGTAATAAGTATAGTACATCAATGCATAACTGAACATTGCATAAAATCTGTTGTACAAGTACATTCTTGTTTGCATATTAAAATGATTTGATGGAAAAACAATGAAAGACTGTTCACCATCTGAAATTATTGAATTGAGCAACAGTGATTTTTTCTTGTTCTCATTTTAATGTTTGTCACCTTTTTTCCTTTAATTTCAGGTGATAGTGCATTTGGAGCCACTCCTAGAAAAATTGAAAGTTAGATTCCTGATATGGGTAAGTCTTCATTAGGGAATGTCATCATAAATGTCATTAATGTCATCATTACTGATGAATTAAATAGTCATTATTATTTAAAGAGGTGCTGTCTGTTAGTACAGTCAGGGTTCACATTGATATTACATTGAGAGAATCGCAGAGATGAGAATCCTGTACATTATTCTACTACTGCTATGGTGGAAAATTGACATTATTGAATAGTATTAGGATTCAGGTCATATGATGTCAGATGAAACATTAACACATGTAGTTTATCTTTGGCTTGAAGTAATTGTGTGGATATTTTACCTATAACATTTCATGTAGGAGTAATAGAGACTCTACAAATTATAATTTTTTTAATTCTTTTTTATTCCCCAATCATCTATTATTATACTTTATAGATTCAGTTGAACATTGAGTTATTACATTTTAGTTATTCTGTTGAATGTTGGTTGGTGGGTTTCATATTGCATAGTGGCTTCTCCATTTCAGGTTGCTCAAGGGGGCCTGCTGCTAGTGGGTACAGTGGGAATCAAGTTTCTGCTCAGTAAACTTTTCATGATTGCTGATGATGTAAGTAAACTAATGATCTGATTCAAAACTTTCTTTAAGTGATCTCCCAACAAAAAGAAATTAATTTAAGAACCTTAATTTGGTAATCCAATCGCAATTGGATTGTAAAAAGGCATCACTTCAAGGCCCTTGTGATATATAGGATAGCTCATTTTCAGTGGACTGTCTAAATAATATTGTTTTCTCAAATTGCTGTTAATTATTCCTCGTATAATACAAGTGTTTACAGCAAACTACATTTTGTAATGAATGGACAATGTACATATTGTACATATGCATATAAATGTGTGAACAAACCTTATACTTATTTTCTCATTACATGTTTCGTTTCAGGCTCATATTGGTGATATTTTCAGAAGCAAGTTCACAGATTTTAAAAATTTCCACACAATGCTTTATACATGTGCTGCCGAGTTTGACTTCATGGACAAAGAGGTAAACATTTTAAGAGCATAATTTGTTTATTGTAATTTACATAATTAATGGCAGATTTTGTTATTATTTTAAAGATAGTTTACACCATTTTTGTTAAATGCATTAAGTAATTTCTGTCCCCAAAACAGACATGAGTAAACCTCTTGCATATTTAAATTCATATAAATTCAGATGATGTAAAAATCTTCAATTAACAATCCTGCAGAACATTGCAAAATTTCTGTAATTTCTGAATTTTCTTCATTTCTTTAGGAAACAAGACGATTTATGAAAAATCTATACTTTATCTATTAAATGATTACTATTATATGCATTGTTGTTGCAGACACCTGGGAAGTTAACACACACCCTGCTCATTCCTGCAACTCTGATCTCAACTACAGCCCTTATCTTCCATGTAAGTTTGACACTGACAAATAACAAGTTCCGAATAAATCTCTCATTATGTAGCAACTGTGAGATGTCATGATATAAAGTAATACGGTTATGAAATATAAAAACACACAAAGCAGCTACATTTTTTCTCAGTGTATTGTTTACAAGAAGGTTTAGCGTAACTGTTAATTTCTAGACTAACTAAAATTATCAAAGTCACAAAGGTTACTCCAATTTTGAATGTTTATTTGTCATTGTTTAGGTTTTAAAAAGTGAGTACACTGCCTGGAAAGGGAGCCAAGGGGAAATGGAAGGTGAACAAGAAATTGAAGTTGAAGACATTAAATATCGCTCTAAACCACATGCAGAGGTAAACACCAGAATTTTGTAATCCAAAAATGTGACATGTACATATATTTGCAACAATTTTATAAATCTTGAACATGCCACAAATCATGTCACTATGCTGAGAAGATTCATCCATTAAATAACCAAATTTCAATTCCAATGATTTGAAGTTATGTGAAATAATATTCAAATTGATGTCAGCTTTTAGTTTATTCATAACTTTTAAAGTACTTTGGTACAGTATAATCTTTTCTAATATAAAATGTTGTGTCAAAACATAGTAGAAATGATAGAAGCGCCATACTTAATTTTGTGTTTTATTTTTGCAGCTTCTCTATAATGTGTTCCAACTGATTGGATACACAGCCATGGCCATTATGATCATGCGTCTCAAACTTTTTTGGACGCCCCAACTTTGCCTCATAGCCTCCCTACTAGCTTCAAGACAGGTAAGGTGATAAATACCCAAAGAAGTCAGTTAGTACCCAAACCATATTGGAATATAGTTTGGGAAAAAGGTGTCTACTCATCTCCAAGATGTATAATGTTAATAAGTGTTAAAAACATAAAAAATGATTGAGAATACAATTTTTTTTCTACATCTATACAAATTTATTTCTACATCTTCTTCTCAATCATTTTTGACATCTCTAAGATGATGTTACTTACATTAATTCTTGGCAATCAAGGAAAAATCATGCGTCTCATCAAACACATTTTCATTAGGGTCTGGACATGCGCAGTTAATTGTCAAGTTCAAACACATTTTTTTGAAAAATAACAGTCCAGTCAAATGCTCCAAGTTGCTGAGTGTTCATTCATATATTTTCAGCTATTTAGTTTTATAAAAAGACAAGAAATCCACTGGGCCATTTTGGCAGCTGTTCTAGGTCTGATGTCCATCCAGGGTATTTCCAACCTCCAGAAACAATGGGCCATATTGGGAGAGTTCAGTAATGTTCCAATGGAAGAGATGATAGAGTGGATTAACACAAGGACACCCAAAGGTAAATTCATCTACAGTGAAACCTTTCTAATATGAAAACTGCTGAAATTGTCCAAATGTGTTTGATAAGCTGCTGTTCACATGTCAAGGTTTCCCAATGTGTGAGTCAATGATAATAAAATTGGGATAGAGAAAAGTGTTCACATTGAGAGGTGTTCAGATTAAAGAGGTGTTTGGAGATACAAGCTTTACTGTACTATGTAATTGTTCTTGCATCAGGTCTCTGGTTGCTCTGGTTATCTAGTCCCCAATCCTTTGGAGACAGGATAATGTTAACACAGGGGCCTGTTGCAAAGTAACTGGAGTGTCATCTACAGATCAGTGAGCCATTGGCTAGACAAAACACAATTACTATACAGTATAATTGATATAAGATGTGATAACATGCATACATAATAATTCTGCGTACATGTTATCTGCAGATGCTGTGTTTGCTGGTCCCATGCCTACTACTGCTACAATAAAGCTATGTACTTTACGCCCCATAGTAAACCATCCACATTACGAAGATGCAGGCCTCAGGTAGAAGATTTCATAAATTTTTTCAATGATGAAGTCCATGTCCATATCACGATCTGTTTTTCATTTGTGGATATGTGACTTCACTATTTTATTATAAAGCTTTATTATGATTATGTCATGTACTCGTACATGTGTGTAACAGTCATACATATCATGTCCTTTTGGTTTGTTAAGTCAAACATGTTATAACACATTCTTTGCAACTGATTACTCTACTAGTGTAGACTATACACGCAAAATGCATGTTTCCCTGATGTCCAATAGAGGGGTCAAGGATACTTGATCTTGTTCAACACTTTGTTCAACAAATGTTACCTTTTCCCATCTTTTGGCACTCAAATCGCCACAAAATAGCATTTTTCTTTCAATTTTTTGCACCTTTAATTCTGAAATTCTTCCATTCCAAAACCGAATGTTCTGAAACAAACTGCTCAGAATTTTTGGGGTTTCGTTACATCAAGTCTCAAATGTTGGCTGCCATTGAAAAATAACAGACCACATGTTCAAATGCAGTAGAATGGACAATGACTGCCATGATATAAGGATAATAAGAAAAGTCATTTGCTCTTTCAGAGAGAGGACTAAAAAGGTTTACTCGATGTATAGTCGTAAACCTGCTGAGGAGGTTTATGCCACATTACTAGAGATGGGGGTGGACTATGCTGTGCTGGAGGAGTCTTGGTGTGTTAGGAGAACTAAGTATGTAGAGCATTATTCTTATTATGTCATAACCACAAGTTACATATTGTTATAGTCTCTAACTTTTTTTGGGATGCTGTTAGGTGGTTGGGGTTCGGTGGTCAGCATCTGTAACAATTGGCAGGTGGTGACATATTGCATGTTAATGCCTTGCCCTTAAATTGATGCATTTGCACTATTTATGTTTTTAATGTTAAGGGTTTTATGTGCCAAGAGGCATGGACAAAATTGGACATGATAGCGTCAGAATTTTGGTCTTAATGTCAACATTATAAACAGTATTCCGAGTGATATATTTTTACTTCTTTGAATTTTCTTGCTTAATGTAATGGCACACATACATCAGAATCTTGAATCACTCAAAAATATTACACAATATATATGATTAACAGATATTCTTTTGTCAGATTCATATATTCCTGATAGTCCAACACTGATATGATTCCAGGCCAGGCTGTGGACTTGCTGAAATGTTTGATATAGAGGATATTGAGAATCGAGGGAAGCCTAGGACGTGTGATTCCCTCGCAATGAATCCTGAACCATTTTTCCAGCGTACTTTTAGATCTCGTAACGGCTCAATCCAAGTTTTGAGGCTCAATAAGACACATCCAGTTCGATGACGATGTTAGTCTGCATGAGTTGCCCATTCTTCCGTGTTCTCCCGAATATTGTTAATTGGTGCAGCAAAGTGTTTGTTTTCAGAATTCTGACCAAAATAAGTCAGTTTTCATGTTTTGTGGTTGAAAACGCATTTTCAAAATATGTTTAACACTAACTTGCTATAAGTCTGGAGACCACTGAATTGTTCCTGATATATGTTGTTACATGTATTTTGCTATTTATTTTGTTTGATTTCATACTTGTAGCAGAGTGCATCTTCTCATTATGACATGATTATTTCATTATGACATCATTTATTTCAGTATTACTGACTTGTAATGTGTAGCATGTCCAGTTGACATAGATGACCATGCCTGTGCAGATAGTTTATTGTTTGTTATATATTAGTTTAGCAGGCTTGTTATCCCTGATTGCTAGGATATAGTTGTTTTACACAGTATCTACTGTGCATTATAGAGTCAACGAGCATGTTTATGGCATAATATGTCCAGGGAGTAATGAATTACTTCAACACATCATTTTCCACAATGCCTTTCAAAAAGCCACCCAAATGTGTTCATTATTAGATATCAACAATGCACTCCCAACAATGCACTCCCTTATTACATTCCGATGAAATATATCTTTGATTACAAATATTCAGTTTGATTTAGAAGTAGCATAAACATTTGCTGTGATTTGCCAATTCATGAAGTTACTGTTGTTTTCTAGTTGTTCTATACCTAATGGACGTTTCTTGTAGGTTTTGTTATCGTAGTTTCAAGTCTTGTTGTATTTGTCTTCCAACGAAATGTCTCTAATGCGCCCCTTTACATTACCTCTCATTATGCCCCCAGCAATGCATATAGTGAGTGGTCCATTGGATGAAATCTTAGTACACTATTTGAACTTTGCACACTATCTTCCCATTTTATCACAATAGTGTGATGTATTTCATACATGTAGTTATGTTTCAAGGCTCTAAGTAGAAATATTTTGTGGTAACCAAAATGTAGATTACTTCTCTTTATGTTTTCGAGTTAATGTATTCTGAAATGTTTATAAGTAAATTTATAACATTTTCAACTACATGTATTTAAAACAGTGCCAATATCCATTAAAGATTGCAAGAAGCAATTTTAGTATTTGAAAATTGAATTACTCTAAACTGCAGACATACAGAAAAAATAAACTTGAATTATAAAGAGACCATGTTCATTATAACATTATAATTATAAACATAAATAAGTAAATATAAGTAATGCCTCAGTCACATTTGGTCTGTGGCAACCATAGAGGTAAAGTTTCCCGAAATCGAGAGAAAAATGCAGCATAAGATGGGATAAGCAGTATGATGTAGATTTTCTATATTGTATTAATTTTGTGAAGCTACGTCGGTAGGTAGAGCAAATGTGACTGAGGCTTAAAGCACCACATCATGACAGAATATTGAGGTAGAAAGACTGAATATAATGAGGTATATACTCTAACAGACCCAAAAGCTTCCCAATTAAGCTTGCCTTAATCTGCCTTAAACAAACTGGGAAAGGAATTAGACCACTAAGAATTAACATATTTTATAGGGCACTCTTGTATAAAGTGATTCACAATAATGAAGTACTTGTCAAATTACTTCTATTGCTCTATTTCAGAGAGGGATGTGGTATGGTTGAAATCTGGGATCTAGAGGATGTCAAGAATCGTGGACAACCTCCTCTTTGTGAAGTCCTTGGGGAGAATCCAGGGCCGTATTTTGAGCCAGCGTTTAAAAATAGCGTTTATAAAATTCTAAAGCTCAAGAAGACTAAAACATCACAAAGATCATAAATTGTGAGATACTAATGCAATATTTATTTATGTGATGAGCTATTGCTGTGAAAGAGGAGAGAGTAAATAGAAAGGAGATACGGAGAAAAAACTGCACAGATGGAAACTCTTATTTGTGGGGAAAAGCCAACAGCTCTTATCCAAATACAGGGTAACCAGAAAAAGGAGACCGAAAAAGATTTTGACTTACTTCTTTGATAATGATGATTTAATTTTCACTTTCATTGATGTCACTTGTGGAGAAGATAATGCCTATTTCAGTGGTCTATTTTTTTCCAGTCACCCTGTATGGATTTTTTCAGGATATTGTTAAGAAGAGAAACAGACCCTGGTCAGAATTGAAAGGGTAGAGTCAGTAATCCTTAGTAACCAAAAATATTTTTTATTCATAATGAAATGTAGTTTGCACTTTGGTTCAGACCTCATTTTCTGAAAATATTAGAACTTGAAAAGGTTGCTCTCAAAGTAAGCAGCATAGCATGAATAGTACTTGAATTTCAAAAGACAATTAATTCAACTTCTACATCATTAAGTGATTTTTGAGCTTTTATTATTATTAGATAAAAGAATGTGTATGATGATCATGCAAGATAAATTAAATATCATTATGAATAAAAATATTTTTGGACAATTTTAGGAGGATAATATTATAATCCTTAAAGGTTCTTGTTACACAGTACTCAATATTGAAGTTGGGTACATGTGAATCTGGATTTGAATCAGTTCACACTTAGTTGAATGGAAATCTTATTTTGAATGTATGTTTATTGTGAGTATTAACTTACTTTATTGTGAAGGGTAAATCATTTTTTCAGTATGCGATGAGTGCCTAATGTTTCGCATGAGATTATAATCTTTGCAAAATTGATGCATAAAGCTAAATATAAAAAGTTCTTCAAACTGAACTATAGAGAAATGTGTAATCAATTACAAGTAAGATTTTCACTCCAAATGGGGCTGAGGTTATGTGTTAGAACCTTACATTTATTCAGACATGACTAAAGAAATGTACTCATATTTTATTGTAGCTTAAACATGACATGTCATTTTAGTCATAATCTATATTCTTAAAGTATGTAACAGTGTAAAGTGCTGTGTAATCTACATAAAAAAAACTTACATTTTCATCTCCCCATTTGTACTTAATGACATATGTTAATATGACTAAATGCAAAGTTTTCTGTGTGACATCAGTTTCAATCACTGTGAATTTCCAATTAACCTGTCATAGATGGTGTGTGGTCAACTAGGACCCTGGTTAACTCTGATCAACTTGAATTCAGTTATATTAAAAATCTTTATAAAAGGGAAAGCAATGGAAATGCCAAATGTTAGAAATGCATTTGGAATATTGCAATATATAATATAGATTTAATTTATAATGTTATCTTTATGAATAAAAACATGTATACTCCAGTTGGTGCATACATTGAACTTCGACATTGCTTCATGTAACATTCCCCTGGGAAACAGAATCTCATAAAAGGATGATTTTGAGTCATGAAAATGGTGCTGTGTTAAGAAATGCAAATATAAAATGTGAATATTTGCCAAATTGTTATTAGATTTAATCTTAATATTAAAGTTCAATGCCACCACATGTACAATTATGTATGGTCAGCCAACGTTGGTGCTTTGTGCTTACAAGTTGTGAAATCCAGAATTCTATTTGTTTTGTATTTAATCTGATAAGTTTTGAATTCTGATTGTACTGCTATATCTTGTTTTAAAACTTGGCCAAACATTGAAACACTATATTCAGTATCAGTGTTTGGGCAATGTTGAATTTTTGATTTTTTTCTTTAAAGGTATAGTTGTAAAGTGTTTCTGTGTAAAACATGTAATAGTTTCTCAAGGTTTAGGGATTTGACTATATAGAATGAATCTTTGACTAATCTGAAGCATATTTGAGTCATTCATCACTGAATCATGACTCCCAGTCCCAATGCTGTAATCGTTTATCCAATACTTGTATATCCAGTACATGTTTAAGTATCTGTTACTTAAAGCATATTATTTCCTGTTCCATACAAAACACTGAACAACTCATAATCCTATATACATGTACCAGGTCTAATCATGGATTATCCAATTAAAACTAGCCAAGTTGACTTGTTACGAGTGAGAAATCCATGATGAATAACAGACTTTAATAGAATTGGTATGTCAAAATAATATCTTGTCATGTGTAAAAGAAAGTTGAACATATCAAGTTCTTGTAATCTGGATTTTTTGAACAATTTTTTAAACAATTTTGCCTTTTATTGGTCATGAACATATCTAAAATTGTAATATATAGATAGTAGCAGGGTCAATATATTATTTGGGCTAGGCCTTGTATATGTCATATGAAAATGTTGGCTAATTCACTTAAAGGGACATTCCTTACCAGCCTGTCACTGTATTGGTATTGATGTTGTTACAATGACCAATTATAAACTATCGGTTTTTACATAAATTATTGATTATTAAAGTATTGGTCAAGTCAAATGGCCATTTAGAAATGTTATTTATTTCAAATTGCCTGCCATCTTGAAAAGTACCTAACAGGAAGTGATGTCGTTAACTCATTATTCGTATGTAAAAGTATTTGAAAAATCAAAACCAACTAAATTATTTTTTGAATATTGTCTTGAATTAAAAATTAAAAATCCACAAATTATAATGATATTTTCTTTGCATACCTTGATAAGCCTTTAAGTGCATTTTTACTAAAAAGTAAGGACCAATATTCTCCTGCCATTTTGCCACATCGCTTGTTGTCATAAGCAAGTTAAGAGTCAATGTCATTACTTCCTGTCAGACAACTTGAATGATTCCAGCCTTCTGAAAATAAGTGCTGCATTATTTGATCATCAATTCTCACCATACCATGTTTTTTCAAATTTTCACTTCCTATGGATATTAAGTCATTGGTTTTATGAATTTTAACTTATTTGATGAATTAAAGCTTAAAGCAAGTTAAAATCACAATAGTAATTGCATTCTGTTGTGAAATGTGGGGACCTGTGGCTTGGGTTAGAGTTTAATGTTGTAGTTGTAATGTTATTCAGTTGTTGAATTTCTTGTTTAGTTATTGCTTTAGAATTTATAAAAGAATTTTTAGTACATACATGTATTATTTGTATGTATGCATATTATGTATACAATATTGTCACAGTGAAATATATATATATTTTATATGACACAAACAAACAAAATGTTATGTACCTGATCATATACTAATGCTAGTTTCCAGAAACAGTTTCTATGCACAAGTTGGGAATTTGTGCATAAACATGTGATTGGAATTATTGAAATTGTTTCAGAACTTCAATAAAATGTGATGAACATGAACAATTGACCTCTGTATGAGGTCTCTATAGCCTATATTGCACATAGATGAGAGCCACGAAACTAGAGCCTTGATGTATTCCATAGGTGATATGCAAAACGATCAAAAATTCTGGTGGGTCAATGAACCATTTGATAACTTCTGATGTATAAAACCATTACCCTCTCCATTTATTTCTATATTAGAGAATGATACACGAGGGCTTCATGCGAGACCCGGGTTTTGAACAGTCTGAATTCAATTTCAAGTTACCTAGTTTCAATTGTTAGCCAGAACAGGACATTCTCCAAATACTGTAGATTGGGTTAATTTGGCGCCCGCTTTAATTTGGCGAAATTGAAAAATTCGCCAATATAAATCTTCGCCAAAATTTAGAATGAATCCCTGGGAATTATCTAGGGTATTTCCTCCAGTGTATTTAGGTCACTTCCAGTTTAGTTTTTTCCAAAAATATGAAAAAATATCTCTCATAAATTGGCTCAGAACTGGTCAGTCACTCATTAATATTCAGGGAAAAGCTAGAAAGGAAAAGCATGGTATAGTAGCAGCATCGATCGAGGTGCAAAATGTAAAGGATGATCTCACAAAGTAAGTATAGTACAGTTGTTGAATTTCTTGTTTAGTTATTGCTTTAGAATTTATAAAAGAATTTTTAGTACATACATGTATTATTTGTATGTATGCATATTATGTATACAATATTGTCACAGTGAAATATATATATATTTTATATGACACAAACAAACAAAATGTTATGTACCTGATCATATACTAATGCTAGTTTCCAGAAACAGTTTCTATGCACAAGTTGGGAATTTGTGCATAAACATGTGATTGGAATTATTGAAATTGTTTCAGAACTTCAATAAAATGTGATGAACATGAACAATTGATTTCTGTATGAGGTCTCTATAGCCTATATTGCACATAGATGAGAGCCACGAAACTAGAGCCTTGATGTATTCCATAGGTGATATGCAAAACGATCAAAAATTCTGGTGGGTCAATGAACCATTTGATAACTTCTGATGTATAAAACCATTACCCTCTCCATTTATAAATCTTCGCCAAAATTTAGAATGAATCCCTGGGAATTATCTAGGGTATTTCCTCCAGTGTATTTAGGTCACTTCCAGTTTAGTTTTTTCCAAAAATATGAAAAAATATCTCTCATAAATTGGCTCAGAACTGGTCAGTCACTCATTAATATTCAGGGAAAAGCTAGAAAGGAAAAGCATGGTATAGTAGCAGCATCGATCGAGGTGCAAAATGTAAAGGATGATCTCACAAAAATGTACAAACGTGGTGAATATCGCCAGTGGTCCTCAAAATAAAAAATGAACATAGCCAAACATTCCCATTTACATCGTAATTCGCAAACAGCGCGTAAGTTTAATATTGCATTTAATTAAAAAACTTTTTTGCATATCCGCCAAATTAAATAGCCGCCAATATGGCAAAAATGGCAAAATCGCCAAATTAAGTAGCGCCAAATTAACCCAATCTACAGTATTTCGCATACTTCATTTAAATGTACCAAATCTTTCATAAAATGTATCCAAATATAAATCAAACTAACCAAAGTTCCATGTGTTTTAATCATTTTATATTTTGTTAAAATAAAACATACACATTCCTTGAGGATTGCATTATTACACTTAGTCAACTATTACATTTGGTAAGCATCACCCTCATATACACATAAGAAGATAGTAACAATAGATAATCCTGTACAACAGGTAAGCATCACCCTCATATACACATAAGAAGATAGTAACAATAGATAATCCTGTACAACAGAACAAGTACAGTGTCTAATTTGGGGAACTTTACAATTTAAAAAACTGGCAAATAATAAAAAATGCCAAATTAAATAGACCTAGGGAATGTATAATATGGAATTAAAACTCTGAAAAGTTGTCCTTTATTTTATTAGTGTTACATACATGCCATATGCTTGGGTACTTTAATTGCCTTGGATATCACACAATATTAAAAATTAGGAGTCATTTTGGGTATGCAAATTCAGTGTATTGTCAATTCACACAATTCAAAAATCCAAGCAAAATCTCAAATTAAGTAGGACTAAATTAATGGAAAATACAGTTAGTAGAGCAAACTAGGATGATATACAGGGTGAGCCAAAAATAGGAAAAATGGTAAATCTCGGACAAATGAACAATTTACCATTAATATTCAAACATCTGACAAAAAGATTTGAAGTCAGTATTAGCTTAAGTATTTGAATGGTAAAATATGCCTATCCTTAAGTTTCTGTAAAAAAATATTTCATGTCAATACCATAATGTTATGATACTTTTTTTGCCTTCTAAAAAGGTTGCAAAATTTTTTGGCCCACCCTGTAAATGACCACCTCTGCACCAAGGTTCCAAACACATCCCTTGGTGATGAAAGGGTTAATATCTAATTTTGCAATCAACGAAAATTTGAATGGAGGTTAGATTCTTAAAGCTGACACTCTCAGCTTTCCAATGGTGTATTGGAACCTTAGGGCAGAAGATGTAATTTAAAAATCACTAAGGAGAGCAATTAGTGTCTCTATTTTGCTCAAGTTAAATTAATAAATAACTTAGAATTATCCCATATTCTCGAGTAAATGGTGACATAATGAAAAAATACACATATTACAGAATGTTCATTTCTAGAATAACAACCCTTACAATCAGGGATATCAGATATATTTCCAATAGGATCTGATATGAAAGACATTGAGTTATTGATACATCACAGTACTCAGACAATCACATTCATAATTCACAATAATTCATACTTCAATCTGTTTTAAAGGCTCTTTGTTATTATTATTATATCTTGGTTACCGCCATATTTGGCAAGCCTCATTGGTATATTTCGTATTTTACACTCGAAGATAGAGCCAGAAACCCCTCCTTAGTCCTTGGAGGAGCCCTGTGTTCTTTTGTGTGCACAGGTACACAGACTTACAGGTACACAACAGCCTTTTATATGAGTCGTGAACCACTCAGTCAAACACCCAGAATTACATAACGCACAAACTTGTCTGAACTGGGAATCGAACCCGGGGCCAAGCGATATTGGTAACCTTGGCTCTGCCATTGAGCCATAGCGAGTGGACTTTGATTATTTTTCCAAGATTTTGGTTTTTAAAAAATAGAGGATGTTTCGAAAATATTCTTTGGATTTTGTTGTTTTTTGTGAAGGGATTCTATGCCTTTAATACACCAGACTATAAAATTATGAGCCAAATCTGATTACTATTATTCTAGTAATACACTGGAAACATGGATGGATACTTCTCTGTATCTCCACTAATTATAATGTATGTACATGTACAGTAGAGCATTAATCTTAGAAGTATTATTAATAGCTTTAATGATTTTGGCCCATCTTGTATGTTATGTAAACTAGAAGTAGAACATTTTACCTGAGAGTTTATCACAATTTAATATAGAAAATTAGTACAATCTATATATGTAACAATTTCTAGGATATTGTGACAAAATATCAACATTCGATATAAAATTCCTATAAAAATACTCTCTCAGTGGAATTGGGCTAAACAGTTTTCCATCTGATTAAATTCATAGAATAAGTGTTATATTGCTTATAAGTTGTTTGTATCTTTCAGTCCTGTCACTCATCATCCCAAATATAAATAGATACAAAGGAGATTAAGGTGATTTTAATGGCCCAACCATGAGACTATTAAAATCAACAGCCATATGCAGGTTGGACAGATCTTTCAAATTCCTTAGATAGTTAAAAGACATTTTATGGTTATCAGTCATTGATATACCCAGGCCATTAAAAAGTGTTCGAAGTCCAGTCATTTGGGCATTTTCTAATGTTTGTGTTGCTGTGGCGTTAGCTTGCGAGAGAATCAGATTTGCTTGAGCTGTTGCATTTTGGGAAATCTCGTGAGCTTCGTTGATGATATCCTTAACCTGGAAGAGGCCATTTATCATTAATCAAAAGAAACACATGTGCTATGTCCTTTGTACATTACATATCTTGAATTCTATAGAGCTTATATATTTAATGCTGTAATATGATAGAATATACAAGAGAATGTTATCTATTTGCTGATGTATTTGTAGCTTTCTTGATTTTATGCATTATTGTAGTAAATCACATTCATTGTACACATTTATTGTACTTACCAAACCTTCTGTTTCTTTCCTGACAACTGTTGCTTCTTGCAGGAAATGTTCTCTCTCTGTCTGTTCATTCAGGATGAGAGCCTGAAGAAACCTGCCCTCCACATCCATTGGGATTTTCACCTGGCCAAGTTGGAAATACCTAAATGTAATAGATCAATGTAGAATTCAATATTGCTGTATATACAGAGGTGTAGCCAGGATCTATTTAGAGGTTATGTCACTATGACGTGAAATATGCCTGAGTTCTCCCAATATAGGCCGACCTTGGGAGGCTCTATATTTGGGCAAGAACGAAGGCATATTTCACGTCATAGTGACATAACTGATGTATTACATGCCTTTGTTCCCATGGTTACTTTGTATCAATGACGTGACGTCATGATATTATCATGGTTATTAAAGAAATCTAATATCAAAACGAGGTAAGCGGGCTATATCGGGGTAATCGGGCAATATCGGTGGATATAGCTCGCTAACTTTCCCATTGACTTCCATACAAATGCTTCGCTAGGTATGTAATACACTTGTATATACATGAGGCAAAGTTAAACAGGTGGGGCAAAGTTAAACAGCTGAGGCAAAGTTAAACAGCTGAGGCAAAGTTAAACAGGTGAGGCAAAGTTAAACAGGTGGGGCAAAGTTAAACAGGTGGGGCAAAGTTAAACAGGTGGGGCAAAGTTAAACAGGTGGGGCAAAGTTAAACAGGTGGGGCAAAGTTAAATAGGTGAGGCAAAGTTAAACTGGCATTGCTAAGCTCAATTCGTGTAACCTTCTCTGACATGTAAAATCAGTTCTAATAATTACTTTCAACAAATTATGTTTGATATATATTATCAGAAGTTGAACATACCGTACACTTGCAAACAGTCCTTTATCACTTTTTGTACATGTGCTATATGCTTTACATCCACTATAACAGGATGGATCTGTAAAACATAAGAAACATTCTATTTTGTAGTATTATTCCTACACATTTGTTTGAATAAACAACGGTTTATACTAAAGGATGCAGTCTGCAGTATTAAGTATAGAATACATAACCCTGGTTTTTGATTTTCAGTTTACACTAGGATTCTCACAATAGCAATGTATCAAAATCCTAAATCTTGATATCTCAAATTACCAAAAGCTTTGGCTGTGATTGACCTTATTGCATTGAGTTTGTCAATAATTTGTAGTTTAATATGGTTTCCCTTTTGTCATCCCATTTACAGCGCAAATGGTGATCAGTGGATGAAACACATGTTTAAGTTCATATCTGTATTGGCATTTGTTGAGACTTACTTCCAGGGGTGCCACAGTCCTTCTCGCAACATTTTCCCCCAAGTCGTTCTCTAACAGCCTTAAACAAGTCTGCCTCGATCTCTTTACGATTACGGATGAAGTCTCTTGTCGAATGAATCGTTGAAGCTCCCTGTTGGGAATATGAAATAACATGAAGATAAAAATTCAACATAAAATTTGTTCACTCTTTAATTTTAAGTCATAAATGGTGCATCCATTGTTTTATATATCATTGTATACATTATATATAGAGGTCAGCTATAGCTTACCTTTAAGGCATCCACTGCACTGGTTTTCATAATGGGTGCATAGTATATATCATAAGCCTTATGGAGGTCAGCTAAATCCTCTTCCCTCAAGAAATATTGGAACGTCGCTGACATTGTTACCTACACACAGTATCAAAACAAGAGAAAATGGGATAAAAAAACTGCATCAATTAGCATTAGTGACAGTTAAGGAAGGCATAGTATAGTATCACATGGGGATTTTATTGTTTATTTGATGTTTACTTTTTGTTTCACTTTTGCTAAAATAATGTCAATTATGTTTTGTAATTAAAAATGTACTCATTAACTCAGCAATTAGATTTAGGTCATTAAAATATTCTCAGATTTCTTCCTAAATATCTGGAGCTGCCGGGTAATCTTGAATCAAGATGCTTTAAGCATTCATACTCATTTCATGTCCAACAGGTGTTAAAGTTATTCTACTCTGGCTACCTTAAAGGATTTCTCCTCAGATTAAGCTTGTGATGTTGTTATTATTTCAATAAATTACTAAAAACATACGAACATGAAATACATCCTCAAAGAATGATATTGAAATGCAGTTTCTGAATTATTCACTCGGCTTTGTATAAAAAACCTCCTACCTCATACCCACCTACACATGGGACATGATGCAGTCTTTGAAGGGTTCAATTTTAAAGATCTTAGTTTATTAAATCTTAGTTTATGATGAATTATAGATGCATTTGTAACGACCATTGATGATACTAAATGTATATCCCAGCTGGGTTCAATTGCCACTGGGGGTATCGAATTTAGCATACTTTCTTTCAATTTCTTTATCTGGCTTGTTGGACCTATGTTCGTGGTCGTTACCTATTTATTCCACTGGGGCGCCATTGGGTCATTACATATTAAAATGCATCCATATGCCTTTATTTATGGATCTGTCATCTGTCAAGTCATAAAATAAAGCCAGAAATGTTAATAATTTGAGCTATTTTGAGATTTAATAATCTTTAAAATTGAACCCTTCAATGACTGTATCATGTTTCACGTAGGTGGGTAGCTGGGTAGGTGGGTATGAGGTAGGAGGTTTATTATACAAAGCCTTATTCACTCTTCACAATGAGGTTCAGTTTCTGTCACTGCACATATCACAGGGAAATATCTGAGTATAGTTAATGTCATGTGATGCATGTTCAACCAATCACAGGATGAAAACATGATAGTGAGGACATTAACACTTCATATCTTACCTCAAGCTTATCTGATGCAAATACATCAATATTGTCCATATACACTACATGTGCAGAAGAAGTGAATGTCTTGAACATGTGATCTGGACCAATCGCATAACGTCCACTTCCATACACTTTATCTAAGCTAACTTCCCCCGTCGTTTTACGCTTTACAAAGCCAAACTGTAATTAAAAAGGGAAACAATCAGCTTGATTGAATGCAGTTTATAATATAAAATTTTTCCTGTTTACTGTAGTTCAAAATACAGTGAAATCTGTGAATTGGAACACCTCTGTAAGTGGAACACTTTTCAGAGTCTCAATAATAACTGACTTTATGTTAAAAGGACCACTATAAGTGAAACACTTCTTAGAGGTACCAAAGGTGTTGCACATAGACAGGTTTTACGTATTTATAAATACTATTTTTTGATATACATAATCAGCAAGTATTGGTGTTTTCAACCAAAAATGATTTTTTACCATCTTACTTAAGTCCTACTTTGGTAATAAAATCAATAAGTTTAACGTAACAGTCAGAGTTGATATAAAGATACAGGTACTGTAGATTGGGTTAATTTGGCGCCCGCTTTAATTTGGCGAATTTGGCAAAATAGAAAAAATGCCAATTTACATCTCCGGCAAAATTTAGAAAGGATCCCCTGGAATTTTTAGGGATCTTCCTCTGGTGTATTTCAATCACTTTCAGTTTAGTTTTTGCAAAATCTGAAAAGGATACATTGAACATCAATATGAGTGAGCATTTTCACAGTGAATTCCTTCAATAATAAATTATTAGCTAGATTGAGTAGTTGAATTGAAGGAATAAGTGTGATAATTTGTATTTGCAGTGTATATGGAATTCATTGTGTCAGAGCAATGTCCAAGACCTATAGTGTCTGCCAAATTAAATAGCTGCCAATATGAAAAAATGGCAAAATTGCCAAATTAAGTAGCGCCAAATTAACCCAATCTAGAGTAAATAAACATGAATTACATCAATGTTACAATATCAAAGGTATCCTAATTGTTCGGTCTAACAAAAATGCCTCTTAGAATATAAATAATATTCATATATACAGCATCTAATGAAACACTATGAACAGTTCCACTGAAAAAATGATTTAACATGTCTACTATTTGGCTCAATTTTACAACATGTTTGTTTGGAGAATTTAGAAGTAAAAGTAACAAAGCACAGGTCCTTATAATTTTTGAAAATAGATTCAAATATAATGGAATGTAATGAGATTGAGAACCCTTCAACCTGAGACTAATAAATTAAGTGTTAAAAAGACACTCGAATATATTATCCTTTACTAAAACCCTACAACCTTTTATACCATGTTATACAGGAGAAAATGATTTCCCTATTTCTAATGTAGATAATGTAGTAAGGAACCAAAATACTAGGGATTAAATTATCTTCATCAATTTATAACTTATTGTGTTGCCTTTGGAATATTTTCAATCAGGTAATGGTACCTTTGTCTCACTCTGTATTTTAATATTAATTCCCCACTGATATTTTTGTAAGAATGTAGTTATTAAAGAATGAATAAACATTGGATCGGTGATTTTCAAAGGCGAATATATCAGGCAATGCTATTATGACCTCAGCATTTTAAAATTTGTTGAGTGAATTCAATTTTAACAAGGAAGTAAGTTCTCCCCTGCCTGGTTGTCCATGACCAATGTAAAACCCATTCTGAATGTTACAAACCAAACCAACAGTGACACAAGGAGGCAGTACATGAAGTACATGTAAGATGCAGTGGTCATCAGAGACTGGACCTGGCAAGTCATTCGGAACCTACTGACTCAACAAAACAATCTCAGATCAGCAAATGCAGTAATCTGTCCAAAGACAAACCTATAGTAAAATTAAGACCAACACCATTAAAAAACAAACCAACTGTATAGGCATAGCCTATCAGTCATATATTAAGACACCTAACCAGTTAAAGAAACTGAGAGCCTTGAATAAAAATTTCCATCATATGGAAATGCAAAGTTAAACATAGTAACTCCCAAAATGTTTAATGGTCCAGTTAAACCCTGTGTGCATGTAAGTTGTATATAGGCAAAATGAATAAATATAGCAGGTAATGGATCAATGTTTGTTTCCATTGAACTCAAGCCAACAGAGCTTTATTTACATAAATCTTATACAGAGAGTAGTATGTAGACTTAACACATTTTAAATAGGTAAAGATTAAAAGGTGGATTGGATCGGTGGATTTGATTCATGTAAAAGGTGGATTGGATTGGCTATCTTCAATATATGGATTTTCCTTTAAAAAATTCTATTGATCTCCCTTTAGGAAGATTGGTGCTCTCTTCACTTGCACAATGTCAAATAATAGATGTAATATTATTTTGCTTGGGTGGGCTAGAAGGATGACCTGGTACCCGCTTTCTGATACATGATCTTATTCATTCCAAGTGTAATTTGAGACATTTCATAAATCATAAGGCAGACTGGTTTGAAGATCCATATCATCTGTTTTCAATCCAAACTGAACATACCAGAAATGTTTTGTGTACATTCACACATCAATTTGAATGACAGGTTTTCTTTTTCTAAAGATCTATGTCTTACAAAAGTTGATTTACAAGGGAAAGCGGTTAAATACTTAGAGTTTCCATGAACTAATTGGTGTATGTATTTGTCATTGCTTTGTTCTGATTTTTCAAAAGGGACCTCTAATACTGTAGAGGGAAATTGTTTAGAGGGAGATCAACAGAATTTTTTTATAAGAAATTCCACATTTTGAAGATTCCCGATCCAATCCACCTTTTACATGAATCCAATCCACTCGATCCAATCCACCTTTTAATCTCTACCTTTAAATATGTACCCTATAAGAAATGGCCTTATGGTATATTGATCCACAGTTCAGAAATTTAATATCTTCCAATATCAGAGTTCTACATGTTATTCTCAAGTAGATAAAACTCATACTCCACACATGATCTATAATTATGGCATGATCTTTATCTTTTGGTTTTGCACAAAGAGTGCTTGAAATATATAGCTAGATTATGAGTCAAGGGTAAAAATATATTTTAGACATAACAAGGCATAATGTAGCCACCTGCCATTTGTTACAGACTCTTAGACTGCCAATTTGCCAAATGCCAAACGCTGACTGACAAATACCAAACACAATTCAAAAAAAGTTGCAGACTAAAACAATATGTCAAGGCTTGTGGTGACATCATTTCTGAGATTTTTGGGAAAGTAAAGGGCATACTGGCCGAAAATCAACTCCTTATTCTATCTCCTTGACATGTAACATACCTCATGGTACTCAAGGTAGGAGAAGCTTGAAGGCACTAGGATGAGAATGAGTAGGGCAACTACACCTACAGCAACTCCTATAAGATACACAAACTTCTCTGCCATGTCTTAATTGTAGGTGTGGTAGTCTACCTGAAATAAACAGTTCCAAAGCATATATAGCATTATGTGTTGGGGAGGAGAAGGTTGCAAATGAGCCCTTCAGTCTTAATGCAAGGATATCAATTTAGTATGGATAACAGAACATTCTTAATGCAAGGGTATCAATTTAGTATGGGTATCAGAACATTCTTAATGCAAGGGTATCAATTTAGTATGGGTATCAGAACATTCTTAATGGAAGGGTAACAATTTAGTATGGATAACACTAACAGTGCAGTCTTAGTGCAAGGGGGTATCAATCTAGTACGGGTATCAGAACATTCTTAATGCAAGGGTATAAATTAAGTATGGGTATCAGAACAGTCCTAGTGCAAGGTACCGATTTAGAACAGGTATCAGTGCAGTCTTAATGTAAGGGACAAAATTTAGTACAGGTACCAGAGCAGGCTTAATGCAAGGGTTTCAATTTAGTATGGGTATCAGAACATTTTTAATGCAAGGGTATCAATTTAGTATGGTTATCAGTACAGTCCTAGTGCAAGGGTACCGATTTAGAACAGGTATCAGTGCAGTCTTAATGCAAGGTCAAGGTATCATCAACAAAGTCCTAAGATAAGGGTATCAATTTAGACCCTAAATGTAAGGGTATCAATGTAGTCTTAAATGAAAGGGTATCAATGTAGCCCTAAATGTAAGGGTATCACTGTAGTCTTAAATATAAGTGTATCAATGTAGTCTTAAATGTAAGGGTATCAATGTAGTCTAAATGTAAGGGTAGCAATGTAGCCCTAAATGTAAGTGTATCAATGTAGTCTTAAATGTAAGGGTCTCAATGTAGTCTTAAATGTAAGGGTAGCAATGTAGCCCTAAATGTAAGTGTATCAATGTAGTCTTAAATGTAAGGGTCTCAATGTAGTCTTAAATGTAAGGGTAGCAATGTAGCCCCAAATGTAAGTGTATCAATGTAGTCTTAAATGTAAGGGTATGTAAGGTATCAATGTAGTTCTAAATGTAAGGTATCAATGTAGTTCTAAATGTAAGTGTATCAATGTAGTTCTAAATGTAAGAGTATCAATGTAGTTCTAAATGTCAGTGTATCAATGTAGTTCTAAATGTAAGAGTATCAATGTAGTCCTAAATGTAAGGGTATCAATGTAGTCCTAAAATTCTAAGGGTTTAATGAAATCCTAAGTGTATTACAGGGTATCAATTTAGTCATCAATGGTATCTACGTGAAAGTGCAGTTTGTTCAAAATCAAATTGTTGTGCACCATACAAAACTAGAGCATAACAAACACAGTAATACTGCTTCGTTTGATAGATAAGCTTCTATATAAGTAAACCATAAATATAAAATCGACCTACCCTCGTCATTCCATCTGCAATATAATACCTGTTCAGGTGAAATATTCTTGTCGCTATGCCAAATTGATGAGCGTATATACACAGTCCATTATGTTTCAAAACATACCTATCTCTCACTTTTCTCGGTTTACTGAATTAAATACATATGAACAAAGTAGACTTTAATTTGGGCATATGTATTTACACATCGACATTTTGCATTTGTAAAACGCAAGTTTTCAACGTTCATAATTGATAATCAATAAGTTGGACTGTGTTCCGTGCAGCTAAGAAGACAGAAAACAGGGTAAGAATTTCGTGTTGTTTTTGTCACTAAATTTAGTGTTCGGAGATCAGAATTCATTAATTTCTATGGTTTTAATTTTGATTGTATACTTGATATAACGATTGAGTTGGTCAGTATTAGGATACGTTCATTTCTATATTAGATAATTTGGACAAGATTAGAGTACAGAGTTGGACAATAATTGTGACGCTTTTTATGACCACTATTGAAAATACACCCTGATAAGTCACATGTGATGACATGTTATTGTTGTCAATTTTATAAACTGTTGAGTAATTTAGGTCTGTAACATGCACATTACACCAAGCAGTCTCCAATAATACCATAATATGTCCATTGAGGTTCACAAAATTAATTTGTATCTTAGATCTATATAATTTTAGTGTCACATTTTGGCCCACCTTGTAGTCTAGGTTAATCTATGCGTTTTCTCATTTTTTCATGGAAAACTGCTAATTTATTTAACTGAAACAATTGCCTTAAGTTACATACCGCGTGACACAAAAAATGACACCCACCCACATAATGTTTAATAACTTTTTTTGTCATTGTACTTTCTATGAATAGTAAAATGAGAATTGAAAAAGTACCAATGTTGAAAAAACAGTGGCATTATAATAATCTCATTTAAACAAGCCAACCCCAAAAAAATTATTTAAATTTTCAGTTTGTTCAAATCCAGTATTGACTGACTATTATGCTGCAAGATGTCTGAAGGGAAGGGTCTTAAGATATTTATAGGTGTAATAGTGATTGGTATTATAGCAGCTATTGTTGCACTTGTGGCCTCGTCTCTCAAGCGCTTGGACACATACGAAGGTAATGATTCATTCACCAAATCACTGATTTGTAGCATTTATTGCGTGAGGTTTAATATAACACTGCCAAAAGGTACGAATTATGAATCCTATATAGGCCCTTTAAAAGCTTGTGATTTTGTTCAGAAAAGCTCTAAGTGACCTCCCATGTAACTAGTATTCCATTATTTGGTGTCATAAGAAGAGATGTTGCTAATTTCATACCAAAGTGCAACAAAAATCCATCAAAATCCATCAACATTATGTATCAATATAAAGTTTAAAAAAAATTTCAAAAGAGTGATAACACAAAATTTATGTCCTATTTTTAGCTGAACATGCCATCACTATAGTATGGAGCTACCCAACCATATTACAACTACTAGTTACTTAGATAGATGCTGATACCTTGAAATGTAGCATGACTCCCTATGTATACATTGTCATGTAATTTGATTATTCAAACCTTAGTATGAACATGCACATATATACAGGGTGATCCACAAGTAACTTCAAACGTTGCTATTCCAATACTACTGGACCAATCATCTTAACTTGGTACATTATTGAGTTATAAATATTAAGAATAAAGTTTCTACTATTTGATTGGTTCATTGTATGGTTATTATAGTAACCTGATGTTTTTTCTGATCATATTGTTATGTATTATATAATATATTTGTTTATATAACTAAACACTTCTTTGATTTCAGTTGGTTTGAAGTATGATACAATAGCTAGAAGTTTGGAGGATTCAGCTACAAATGAAGGACTTCATCTGGGGCCTCCAGGATTTGAGTTCATTATATTTCCAAGTGTTTATAAGACGATTTCTTTCAGCAATCTAATCGTAAGATCTGACATTTTATTTTATGTCTATTATTAATGTAGCATGCAGCATTGGATAGATAGTGTTGGAAGCAATGTCAAAGTTCATAACAATTGAATAGGAAATGAAAATATTTATGTATTTATTATGTCATTACCGCAGGCCTCAACTTTTTTTGTGGACAGTGTTTTGCAATTGGTGTTCAGTGATTGTAGTTCAGCATTTGTAACAAATGGTAGGTGGTGGAATTTTGCATATATACCTTGTTATTCCATTAGTATTCTCTCCAATCATAACTAGAGCTACAACTTAATATTATTTGTAGTGTCTAAATAAAGATGGCGTTGAGATCACTCTAGATGTAGCCTACCAGTACCAGGCTCAAGCAAACCACCTGAAGTCTATCATCACTCAATTCAAGGATCATGACACCTACCTCATTGTTCTTTATTCAGTTGGTAAGTTAGTGATATTTTCTTGTGATGTCATCACATAATTCAAGGCTCATGACACCTACCTCACTGTTCTTCATGCAGTTGGTGAGTTAGTGATACAGTATTCTCTTGTGACTGACATCACTCAATTCAAGGATCATGACACCTACCTCACTGTTCTTTATTCAGTTGGTAAGTTAGTGATATTCTCTTGTGATATCATCACTCAATTCAATGATCATGACACCTACCTCACTGTTCTTCATGCAGTTGGTGAGTTAGTGATACAGTATTCTCTTGTGACTGACATCACATAATTCAAGGCTCATGACACCTACCTCACTGTTCTTTATTCAGTTGGTAAGTTAGTGATATTCTCTTGTGATATCAATTTAATGTCTATATTATGAGTATTGTCTCACAATATAATATACAGGAGTGCTCTGAATAAATAAATGTTTTTGATTTTAAATTGTTCATTGATCTGTTTCAGCATTCTATTTTCTGCAATTGTCATTAAAACATTTTCATTTTAATCATATATCTATCAATATCCATAACATCTAAGATAAATTGTAATTAATACAATCATCATCCTTTAAAGGAACTGCATCATTACATGAGACATGCAGTTTGTTCAACACATCACAGCTACAGTCTGAGCGAGGTCTATTCCAAGAAACTGTACGAGTAACACTGCAAGAAAGATATGCTGAATTGCATGCTGATGTCACTGATTTACAAGTAAGTATTCTCTAAAGCAGGAAGTCTGGCTTCAAGCTGAAAAGTAGAGGTCTTGGGTTCAAACCCAGGTCACAGCACTTCTTGTGATTTGTCTTTGACCTATGACTGCTGACCTATACTGGCGATTACTAGAGTGCTTGCTAACTCGATAAAAGGCTGGCGCTGGCTAGAATTGTCTATGGTTCTAGCCAGGATAAAGATACCAGTTCTTCAACTCGACAATGGGAAGAACTGCTCTACCTTAGTGACTAATATGTCATGATATGACATCTAAAGAGTCGATAAAAGATATATATATATTCAATTATTGACCTGTCCAGAGACTGACTGTTATGATGCAGTCAGAGGCAACAATGGAAGCCAAGATCACAAGATGAGATACAATAAGTCAGCCAGTTCAATTACTTGCATTATACAGTTATATGTGACATGCATTTTGGGTTTTTGCCATTACTCCAAAAGTAACAAAGTGATTTTGTTGATCTTATATTTTAATACGTGGAAGCCTGATAAGAAAGGATATTATCTTTTAGAAAGGTTGTATTGCTATCCATATACTATCTGATTAATAGGCAGAGAGAAAAGCAGTAGTACTTTTCCATTGCTCTGATTCTATGTTCAAGTAAAAGTTTGCATGTTTCAATTCCATTGTGTTTTTAGGTTAATAACATTGCACGACCATCTACCTATGAGGAAGCAGTTAGATCTAAGGAGGCAGCTAGGGAAAATATTGAGGTAAGTTTGCAGACTCATATTATACAAATATTTAATTATATTTTCGGTGAATACCTGTGCATCTTTCACAAGTGATATTCCATTCGGGCTTGTGGAATATCATCTTGTGAAAATTTGCTCACACCATGCATTATTTAATGATATACAAACCTACCTATCTAGGTTGCAAGGAATGAAAGACCAAGATTGGAGACTCAAGCAACAACACAGAAACGTGAGGCTGAGACACAAGCAGACATAACTGTAGCCCTGGCAGAGTCCCAGGCTAGGATTATAATAAACAGGTATTCACAATATTGTACCTTGAAGTAAATGAAATAGTGTTTGAACTTGTGTAATTTTGCTTGTATTTTGTACGTAGCTTGTAGCTTTTTGATAAATGGTCCCAATTAGCATTCTGAACTGAACATAAAAATCTTGGATAAAATATGTGGATCTTCTCCTTTAAAGTATTTCTCTGTAATTTTCTGAATCCTCCACAAAGAAGCATTCTATTTATTTACCTATTTGAATCCCCATTAAAAATTAATTTCTTGGACACGATTGTGTCCTGTCTGTTAAAGCTAACATGAAAACTGTGAGGCGAGGTTATTTTTGAAAACTTCAGGGAGTAGGGGTGCTTCGGTGTCACAATATTACATCTAGAAAAGTGGTTTCATAAATTGTTAATCAACTTAATGTGACTTTAAGGTTGGGTAGATTCCCCATAGAACCCATGTTACAAAATCAAAGAGAGAAATATATTTTCTTGCATTGGACAGATAATATTTTTATTTTTCTGGACATATTTTAATTTGAATAACTTTCAGAAACATAAGGGTAATATAAAAATTGATCCACTAAAACTGAAGTCTAAGGGATTTTTCTACTTTATCTGCCATGTTTTCTGACCGGAATTAGTCACCTAGTGGTGAAATTGGTTACTACCTCCTGGCATCTGGGTTATTGGAATGATTGAATACGATAAATTGATATAGAGTTAACTGTATGCTTTAATCGTATATATGTTATATTAATGGTCAAGACAGGGAAAATCTTAAAACACAAGTCGATTCTGTGTTTAGAATCGACCATGGCAAACCTACAAACAGACACAACGATGGGCAAAATGTTTTATAACTCCACGTTTGTAGTCATAGACACTCTATGGGGTGTAGTGAAAGACTACATGACGTATTTTTAGCAGATGTGCGGGTTGTTTCAAAACTGCTGCGTTAAATGCCAAAACAATTAGATGCAGCGAAGGAGGGTTGTATCGGGCGTCCATTCGGAAAATGTGGGCGGAAATGAGAAAAGAACTGGCGAGATAACTAGACTTATGCCTGGGTCACATTTGCTCCGATTCATCGGCCGATTGAGTATTTTATTCAAAATTGTAAATTCCGATTTGAACAAAATACTCAATCGGACGGGCGCAGGCTGATGAGTCAGAGCAAATGTGACCCAGGCATTAGTTGAAATCTATGAAAATAAGGCGTCGCTGCAATGAGGAATTTTGTACAATAAATCAATGTACCGAAGAAAGGCATTTTTGTTCCTTTGAATAGAACAAGTTTGACGAAATACGGTGCAGTGATAGGTTTAAAGTTCAAATCAACTGTTATCATGGTTATTCCTGGATGTAGTGGTTTCGATACGCTCCGACTAGTTGAACCCGCGTGAGTACATTGCTTGAACCTAACAGCTGAAAGTTAAGTTGGCGAAGAAGTGGATCGTACAACTGTATGTATAATTGTATGCGAACGTGCGCATAACGTTCCCATTTTAATTTTATGACTCAATCGCAATCCTAATTATCATGATATCAAATAGCTATCATTAGGTTTGAAACCACTTTCAAATTATTATTCGAAATAAATGACCACCTAGTTCCATCAGGTACCAAATATTTTTAGATGATGTATCAAATATTTTTATTAAAAATGTGTATTTGTGAACCAAATGTTATTATTGGTAGAAAGTTACTTTGAAAAGCAATTGAAAAACATAACACAACCATCTGCATTCATATTTAATATCTTGTTGTAAATGATTTTATGCTAAAATTAATGAGTGGGAAACGGTATATTGTTCTTTGGGATTTGTTTTTCCGTTGATACGGGCAATGATATACAGAATTTCATTGGTTGTGGTGATATCTGATAAGTAAGGCTAATGCGCCATCATTTTTTCAAACATATGTGGTACGTATTTGAGGACTCCATTCCATGCTATATAAGTCACATATTGCCTAATGGTCATCCCAGATACATCCAAATCTCCAAAGTATAACATTGTCTCATTCTGCATCCATAATTTTTTAATATCTGTTCTAATAAAGCGTACAAGTTTATCTGTAAATACAAACTTGTTGAATTCAATGTCTGTGTGCCAGCAATGTATATGAGGTGCCTTCATTACTGGTGTCACACCATCCGTACTTTCCTTGTCCATATATCGAAAAGCTATGTGGTCTTGAGTGAGATTGGGGATGAGATGATTGACGGCTAGCTCACTACCATACATTGTTGAAACGCCGCGCCACCATTTTGGCCATTCTCCATCGGTAGTTTTGTTAAATACACCTTCAAGACCTGGTAGGGATTTGTTGAATTCATTGTTATAAAAGTGAACTGAAAGTTTCAATGCAAGCTTAGCAGCTTTCAGGAATATACCTGGCTCTGCATACCAGCTGCTTCCAATGTTAGAGATGTGCTGATGACGCAAACCAAGTTTTGCTGATATTTCCCGTAATCTGTTTTCACTAAATGGTACTCCATAACCCCCTCGGCCAGTAACAAAAGGATATTTGACGGGCCAACCTAATATTGCTGGAGAGATAAACACATCAGTATCTGTCCTCAAAATCCTATCATATCTGTTTGCAATCTGACCCAAGTTATCATCAAGTAGAAACGTAAATGTGTTAATGTAGCCATAGTTAGAGGGATAGTCTGGATGATTTTGGAGTCGACCAGACGGAATGTACCAGCATCTTGGAACAGCCTCTAAGACATTGCCATGTTCAATAGGGATGCAATCTAATGGGAGAAGCTTGCATGATTCTGGGTGACAATACACAACCAAGTCAAATATGATGTCTGGCAGGGATGTTGTATTGTCGATAGTAACGTTGGATTTGAGGTACCGATGACTCATGACGTATTTCCAGGATGCATACAGAAATAATGTAAATTGTACCATATGCCCATCCCCTTGATCTAAATACATTAGGAAGGCATTGTGCAATAATGTAGTGCTTTTATGTCCATTTTTTGATACTGTTTGACCATTCCTGAGACTTCCATTAACAGTATCCTCCATTCTGTTTTCACCCTTAACAGATATGTTATTTAGCTGCATTAATCTGGTATTTTTAGTTTCTGCAATCTCGGTGTCAATCCCTCTTTGAACCAATGTTCTATTTCGAACTGTGACATATAAAGACCAGTTGCAAAGCAGTGATAATCCTACGAATCCAAACAAAATGTATATCCATATTATTGTTTTATTCAACATTTTACCTATTTTCTTTTTAAAATTGCAAAGCATTAAAACAGAGTTTCAAAATTTGCATTTATACGTTATTAACGGTATATAGTACATGGTCCATTTTTAACAAATGTAGTGCAATAGCTGCCAAGTTAAACATAGAGCTTATTCAGTGGCTAACATAGTCCAAAACTCACCACTGCGTGACTGTTGTATCTCTTATTGCTCTCAATTAATATGCAATCATGTGTTCAATCGTTAACGTTAGGCATGCAGTAGCCATGCTGGGGTCTAGCTTGTTAGCTGGTAATTTTAATGTCACAAGCTAACAACATGGAGGGATGCAACAATGTCTACACTTTTCACAACATGAGCCGTTATACATAAAAGGTTTAATTTCTGGAAATGTTCAAATTATTGTATCAGATTCTTTAGTCTGCTAAGGTAGATGGATAGTCAAAAATGTTCTTCTCTGTTCTTTCTTTTATTTTGGCTATGGCAAAATATGGACCCCTCCCCATTATCTACTTTAACAACAGGTTCTTGTAACCTGTGCCAATTTACTTAGTATCCCATTTATCGCCTAAAAACACTCGGCAACATTTTACAAAATCACGAAATCGCACGCGAAAAATACCGGGAGTACATCATTTGCCAAGGAATACAATATCAAAAATTGTCGTCTTTCTCTTAGAGATTCTAATTCTTTCTAATTATGCCAATCTTTCAAATTAAAGCATTGTTGAATATGACGAAAATAAGTTGTTACCATGTTTTTTGTATTCTTATATATATGTACCATTGGATTTAATGAGAACTAAAACTTTGAATTTTTTCTCTTGGACCACTTTTCTACGCTCTAAAAAAGAAGAACTAAAGTCAGGTCGTCTAATCATCTTAGTTTGTAGTTACAATGTTACAGTTTTGGTTTAAGAATAAAAATCATAAATTGATCCAATGGCACACCATTAGACGATGATCGCCCCAAGAGACCAGGATGTGGACAGGCAGGAGACGTATCGTCGATTAATCCACCATCTTGAAAAACATCCACAACATAGAAAAATGCCAATGTGTTGTGGGATAAATTGCTTCAACATTTTCATGATCACGGATATGGCTAAGCTAAGGATAAGTTTCCATTCCTAGATCTGAAGTTTTAGTCATTTCATTGCACGATTGATTGTATATTTACTATTTACATTATATATTCCAGAGCGAATGTTGAAGCTGACGCCATCATCGACCAATACACAAAAGAATCTGAAACTTACAAAAACCTTGTTGGTTCATCGGGACTTTCACTTACTGCTGATGGATTCTTATCATATATTGGCGTGCGAGCAATTTCATCTGCCAAGAATCCTGTTTATATTGGATTACGAAGTCCAGCCAAAACATCATATGTTACTCCATAGATGCTGGTCTGTCTTTGGGTAATATTGTAACATGACTAAAACTGTCACGTCATCTACAATAAATGTTTTAGCCAATATGTGGCTGTGGCACGTCAAAACATGTCCCAGCTGTTGAGTGGACATTTTTAATATATCGGAAAATACAGGTTTCAATTTTGATATTTTTAACAATTTGTGCTTCATGCATGACATGTCAGATAATGTTTCAACTGTGATATTTTAAACAATATGTGCCCCATCCGAGACATGTCAGACAATATATGTTTCAGTTGTGATGTTTTAAACATGCGCTTCATCCAAGACATGTCAGATAATGTTTCAATTGTGATATTTTTAACAACATGTGCTCCATCTGTGATATGTCAGACAATATATGTTTCAGCTCTGATAATTTAAACTATATGTGTCAGTTGTGGTATTTTAAGCAATATGTGCTTCATCCGTGACATGTCAGACAATATATGTCTCAATTGTGATATTCTTTCAACAATATGTGCTACATCTGTGGCATGTCAGACATAAATGTTTCAATTATGATATTTTAAACAATATGTGCTACATCTGTGGCATGTCAGACATAAATGTTTCAATTGTGATATTTTAAACAATATGTGCTACATCTGTGGCATGTCAGACATAAATATTTCAATTATGATATTTTAAACAATATGTGCTACATCTGTGTCATGTCAGACATAAATGTTTCAATTATGATATTTTAAACAATATATGCTACATCTGTGTCATGTCAGACATAAATGTTTCAATTGTGATATTTTAAACAATATGTGCTCTATCTGTGGCATGTCCGATATAAATGTTTCAATTGTGATATTTTAAACAATATGTGCTCTATCTGTGGCATGTCCGATATAAATGTTTCAATTATGATATTTTAAACAATATGTGCTACATCTGTGGCATGTCAGACATAAATGTTTCAATAGACGTTTCCGATAAATCGTGCCCTCTTTTGATCCATCTGGGAAACTATAACTCATTGGCTAGATTGATGATGTCATTGGTTGTAGGTAGCAAACTGCCCATTCAAAAATGGTATTTACTTTTTTGCTAATTTTATTAAAGTACAACCTATGACATCGTCAATCTAGCCAATATATTGTGGTTTCTCTGATGGATCAAAAGATGGCACGATTTATAGGAAACATCTATTGTGATATTTGGAACAATATGTGCTCCATCTGTGGCATGTCCAGACATAAATGTTTCAGTTATGATATTTTAAACAATATGTTCTACATCTGTGTCATGTCAGGCATAAATGTTTCAATTATGATATTTTAAACAATATGTGCTACATCTGTGGCATGTCAGACATAAATGTTTCAATTGTGATATTTTAAACAATATGTGCTACATCTGTGGCATGTCAGACATAAATGTTTCAGTTGTGATATTTAAACAATATGTGCTCCATCAGTGATATGCCAGACAATACAGGTATATTTGTGTATTATGTTTCAACTAGACAAACCAGATGATGTGCATGTTTCAATTCTTATATTTTATAAACAATTTGTATAATATGTGTATGTAACATGGGTGGTGTAATGCCTCAGTCGCATTTGATATACAGCAACCGTACGGTGGCCGTTGCTTCCCACAATCGAGAGAAATATGCAGCATAAAATATGGGATAAGCTGTACGATGTAGATTTTACATATATATATTTTGTATATATCATTGTGGGAAGTTTCGCCCGCCGTACGCCCGTCGTAGAGCAAATATGACTGAGATTACAGGCTTTAGGCCCGTGAATGACAAATATAAATAAATCAACAAAATATAATTTAAAATGTCTTAATAATCTCTCTCCTAATATGTATAATAAAAATGTTTTGACATGTACTGTTCCAATGTTCTCAATTCACTGATAGCTCTCAGCTAACTAAGGTAGCATTCGAGAATTAACTGTCGGCTGACGGATTGGCCTACTATTTTATGGCAAACTCATTTAAATCTAAATAGAATAGTGGTAGGTTATATTTGTGTATTATGTTTCAACTAGACAAACCAGATGATGTGCATGTTTCAATTCTTATATTTTATAAACAATTTGTATAATATGTGTATGTAACATGGGTGGTGTAATGCCTCAGTCGCATTTGATATACAGCAACCGTACGGTGGCCGTTGCTTCCCACAATCGAGAGAAATATGCAGCATAAAATATGGGATAAGCTGTACGATGTAGATTTTACATATATATATTTTGTATATATCATTGTGGGAAGTTTCGCCCGCCGTACGCCCGTCGTAGAGCAAATATGACTGAGATTACAGGCTTTAGGCCCGTGAATGACAAATATAAATAAATCAACAAAATATAATTTAAAATGTCTTAATAATCTCTCTCCTAATATGTATAATAAAAATGTTTTGACATGTACTGTTCCAATGTTCTCAATTCACTGATAGCTCTCAGCTAACTAAGGTAGCATTCGAGAATTAACTGTCGGCTGACGGATTGGCCTACTATTTTATGGCAAACTCATTTAAATCTAAATAGAATAGTGGTAGGTTTACTATTTATATTTAAAGGAGTTGGCCATAAATAATCCGTCAGCCGGCAGTTTATTTCGCGAATGTTACCTAAGCTAGTCGGCTTTCGGCTGGCGGTTTGATTGCTCTTTATGGCCAACTCATTTGAATATGAATAGTTCCTGCCACTATTTTATTCATATTGAAATGAATTTCCCATAAAATAGGTTGATCAGTTGATTTTGCAAATGCTCGTAATTACCTGGGCAAATTACAAACGCAGATAGAAAATCACTTTCAAGGAAGTAACTCTATTTTACAGAGAAAATGTAATTTTAATTAGGATGAAGCAAATATTAATAAGGCTATACTGATTACTATGAAGCAAACATAGCGGGATACTTTTGTGACATTTTAACATAATCACTATGTTGTTGAAAGAATAAATAATATAATAATTAATTAGCGATAAATATCTTTTTATTATATGCATATTTATTAACTCAAATTGTATTCCATAAGTAAGAATGCTACATTTTATCTAGTTTGACAGTAATCTTGATTCCACTGTCTTGAAAGATAGTAAGTTCCCTCGTATTGAACTTATACACTGGTGATGCACCGTTTCGGTAACCAGCGTAATCGAGCGGATCACCAGTGTTATAAATACAAGTGCATGATATGGACAGGTTACACGATTTCATGCATTTTAATAAAATGCTATGGCCCCTACAGCTTAATCGTCTGTGTTGCAGAATTTTTTTCTCAGCTCTCAATTTGAACAAACGAAAAACGATAAAATCCTAAGAGACATTTTCAGGATGGCAAGCGCTTCTAATTAAATATATTTAACAAGGAGGATTGGCTTCCAGTGTTTCAACTCGATATTCTGCCTTACATGGAGTCATGTACAAAATTTAAAATCAAACAGTCGCCATTTTTTCACTTCAGAATTTGAATCGCTAGTTTTGGTCATATTTCCTTAGAAAAATCATGGGTCAAAATATTAGTTCAAATCATTTATGATCACTATGTAGTCAATTGTGATGTCAGAAAATAACAACATGTTCTATGTTGATATAAGGTTAAGATTGGTCATTCTCCTTGCAATTCATTCGTGAAGCTCTCATCTGCATTTACAGATTCTTCAATATTAATAATTTCCTTCTGAATAGAAAGATAAACAAAAGTTTCGGGACTTCCAAAATTGACTATATAATATTGGAGAATATATTTCATAAGGCTAATGCTGACTTGGTGTATGGGGTATATACAGTGCTTTTAAATGATGACCGTATATACAGTTTTCTAGCCAATAGATGGACAATTGTTCCTAGTTTTTGCCTCGTAACGTAAGTCATACTTAAATAAATAATAAGTGAAAGTGAACCAAAATCATGCTTGAGATATACTACATTCAATGACCTGAATATAAATAATAATTTACAATTTAATATAAATAATAGATATCATCTGCTTTTTGACACACTGAGTATAGTATTAAGTATGTTACAAAAACATAATCTTGGCATTATTCACTACATAATACGGTTTGTGTCTATGAAAGTTGAATATCGAATATGTAAATAACTGATGTTCCTCGCAGTACAATCATTCAACACAAAGATGGACATTTGTATCGTTTCCATTACTGTCTATCTTTCCATTCTGATTTCGGTGGATAACTGGCAACATTTCATCAGAACAAGACGGTGCGCTCTCCACTGCCATAACCGCATCAGATTGTGGTTTAAGTGGGGTTGTTTCCCCGTCAGTCTGTTGTTTGAGTGGAGTTGTTTCCCCAATTTTGAAAGGTTGACTTTGACCAGTTTTATTTGAGAATTCTAATATGGTAGTACCGGTTGATACACTGGACCTTGCTTGACTAGATTTTCGTTTTGGTATATCCAATCTACCATTTATAGATATGGCTGAGTTCAGTCTCGAGGCCCTTCGAGACTCACAATCTGATTTAGCCTCTATCTGAGTCACTGACATGCGACTATTGCCGCCACCTATAGTCCTTTGGTCCAACCATCTGTAATATCTCTGTTTTAAAACGTTCCGCACCTGAAATGTAATAAACAGAGGAATTGAATTGAATCACAATTTGGGATAGCATCTGTATATACAATTTCTCAATTTTCATCTTGCCATTATGTTTTTCTCTAATTTTATTCTCCCAATTTTCATTTTTTACTGAATATTTGGTTTCTTGCGATATTTTTATACATACAACGAAATATAACAAATAAACCCACTAAGGTTAAAACAAAATCTGAAGTAAAACCACTATACAATCTAGGAATACTTAAAAGACACATTTATCCGAAAATAAACGAAGAACTTTGAAGTAAAAATATAGGTTCCATGTAAAGTTTAATGTAAAGTTAAGCTGCAGGGCTCATCTATTATTTTATTAAACCAGTGAAAGATATTTGGTTGAAAATTAAGCGAGAGTATAATTGATAAGCACAGGAAAGTATTTCAGAGAAATACACGGTACGGGGTCAGTATCAAGCGAAGGTAACGGCCGTTACCTTCGCATCAAAGATGGTGGACGGGAAGTGTCGATTTCGATAATTTTAGTTTTCATCGAAATAATCTACTTTATACCTCTAACTCTTATATAGCATTATTATATTATTGATCGGTCACACATTTATAAAAGGGAGATTTTTTATCTTGACAAACCAATTTCACATTTATGGGTGAAGTTTTGGTATCTTCTATGTGTTTGTAATAAGGAAAAATTGGCATCTAAAGGAGCACGTAGGTTATCGCAAACAATTTCAAACGATTCTAACTTGAATTATGAATATTTTTTGATCATGAACATGGGTGTATCTTTTAGATCCATTCGTTATCTTCAAGAAAAGTATATATAATGATAATTTAGTTAATCAGACCTAAGTGATATTGAAGGGGCAATGGACCAATCAACATACTTTTTCAAAAATGTTGACCTAATTTTCACCAAAAATGCAACCTATTATTATATTGTTGAATGCATATGTTCGATTTCCTAAAAGGAAAATTTGATTGCTCCAGGGACTTTAAGGATATTCAATTTGGATGACCAAAATGAACTGAAACCAATGGATAGCATGAGATTTTTCAATGGAGAAATAACATGGGGAACACTTATCTTAATGCAATTAAGTTTTTCTTTCAAGAACTATTTGATACATCAAAATAAAGAATAGTAATGCATTAAACATTGTAAAAAATGATTGCATTTTTGGTGAAAATGGGGTCAACATCTTCAAAATGGGGTCAAAAAGTGTGTTGATGGGTTAATTGCTAGTTAAATATCTCCGAGTTTGTTTGAATTTATCATTACTGTGCATAATTTTCTTTGAGATAATGAATTGATCTAAAAGATAAACTTGTCTTCATTGTCAGAAAATACTCATAATCCAAGATATAACCTTCTGAAATTGTTTGCGATAACCCACGTGCTCCTTTCCACATAACGTATTAGTACACAGCTTGGCATATGAAATATCCTCGAAATGAAACAAAGCAGTTCTAATACATACATTTATATTGGCTGTTGTACATGCATTCTTTGAACAATCATTCTCTCAATAATGTTTTTAGAATCATTATAAACGGATTACTTTATCTCCAAGACAATTTCAATCAACTGGATTTTACAAAATCCCCCCTATTTCTTAAAAATGGACTGATCCAGTTGACTCGCCTGGAGCAGCCATATTGTTTTATACGGGAAGCTTATCGGAACCCTAGGGTTTTTACAGTTGATAAGATAACTGATATTCGGTGCGCTTGATACTGACCAGTGAAATATATACTGTTTTAAGATTTCGTGTATGTATAAAATGATCATTACACATTGTTTGATTTAATCTAAACTTTTGTTCCTTAAATGGCAGAAATTCGAAAATATTGGCCTTTTTGAAAATTAATACCAAGCTTTTCAATGTCACAAACATTTCCTTAGTTTTGAAAACAAGATATGGATCATTAATTAAACCAATAAAGGGACCTTTAATTTCAACTTATCAACTACTGTGCTATCATGCTATTTACTGACTCCTTTTCTGTACTAACCTCTCCGTTTAAAAAGCAATAGAACAGCGAGACAAAGAATCCCTGGAAATAAATGAAATAACATCAACACTGTGATTATCATGTACGATGTGATGAAAATTATGTTTTACTATATGCCACTGCAGCAAATACTTAGAATATTCCCACACTATTCACAATTATACGCGGAACAATAATTCTAATTATATTAGGTTACTATTATACTGTAATTTCACAAAATATAGTGATCAGTAGAAACGCTGTTAAATGTTCTTTAACACCTTTTATTAACTGTATAACCATCAATGATTCACATTAAATACATGTAACCCCTGGGAAGCCCTTACCTGGAGAGACTGTAAAATTGCGTTGAAATAGAGGAAGGCTGCGTTGACTCCCGGATCATCGCCGGGTGGAGTGATGAACAACACATATGTTAGACCAAGAAGTGGAAAGAGTATCAGAGTGGATTTGGCAGCTTTCCTGGAGGAAAAAGATGCTTATTTTGTGCTATGTATCTTGTAAAATTTGAATTTGATGTACATCGGTGAACAGTATTATTTCGAGGTGTAAGTTCTTAGCAATAAAGATACACATTGTATTTAATTTATCTTATAGACATTGCTACGTAATTAATAACTGTAACCACAATTTGGAAAGGTTTATGGGAAATGGGAGTCTAACCTTATATCCTTTGGTTTAGAATAATAGGTATTTTTGCTCTTTCAAAGTATACTACTCCTTATCTTTGGTTGCGTTGTTCAAAATTTAGATATGTGCATATAACTAATAATTAGTGATTAAAAGACAGGGTGTCCAATAATCCTGTCCTTAGTGGTTTCTAGTGTGATATATCATTGGAAAGATCAACCACAGTTATGTTGATTGGCATATATCTGATATCTGTCAATCTATTTCACAAATTGCCACATTTTATCATCTGAGGTGACCAAAGACCTAGAAACATTGCAATGTGGCGTATCTGGCATCAGAAAAGATGTGTAGTATACTGATGGGCAATGGATAGTGGTGACGATTTTTTGTAAGAAGTGGAATGCGAAAAACACTAATTTTTTATGTATTGCTGAGGTCACATCCTTCTAATTTTGACGCAATACAATCTGCTGGAGGAGGGCACACTAAATATTAAGACATCAGGTTAGTTAACGTAACTTTGTATGATCTGTCCAATGGTATATCACAATAGGTACTCGCTTTCAGTTGTAGCAGGGGGACCCTGTAAGTGATTTTAGCTGTTACATAACTTACCTATATTGTCGTGTTTCAATGGAATGTGATGCTCGTATCTTTAGAACTAAGACCCAAACAATTGTCGATAGGAAAATAATATTTATCTACAATTATAACAAATATACAAAATAAGTCTTTACCATTGCCTATTGAGCACAAGATCTGTGGAATCGGGATATAATATATCATAAATTTATAATGAGGCTTCATTATGTTTTTTCAAATTTTAATAGTACATGTATATTCTTTAGTATGTAAGTATAATATATTACATATTATAGGTCAAGGTCATTGAATCACTGCACACACTGTATAAAACTGTCTCAAGATTTTGTCAAATTTGCCAGTGTTTATGTAGAATTTTCCTGAATTACCCCATTGGACTATTGTATAAAGGTACCAAGACTATGGGGAAGTCTAAATATTCAAGGAAAACTAAACCAGAAACAACAGGACAATCTCCAAAGATTTCAAAAGGACCAACAAAAAATGTAGCCAAATCCAATATGGCTTCCACAAGTAATCTTTCCACAACTGGTAAAATTTCAAATTTGAACAGCAATAACAACACAACTACTACAGATGATATAATGACAGTTATAGTTGCATTACAACAAAAGGTGGAGGATTTGATGGATAGTACGAACCGTCTAGTACAACAACTGGATTTACAGCGACAACAATTTGTGGATATTTTAGACAGCCACATAACGAAGGTAAAGTTGAAGATTGACACTGAGATCAGTATTTTACGTGATAACATTGATAATATGCACGCTCGTTTGGATATTTTGGAAAATCAAGACAAATCTGATTCTGTGAATTCAAATGCGATTGAAATTGAGGACAACTGTATTGTGATTAAGAATTTGGATCAAACGTCGGACTTGGCTCAAACTGTGAATGATATTTTTGATGAACTATTGATGGATGACAAAATTGAAACTACCCCTGATGGTGTCAAAAGACTACAATCTCAACAGGACCGATCAGGTATCGTGTTTGTAGCCTTGACATCACATAGAGATAAAATGTGCATACTGAAATCGAAACATCGCCTTAGACACTCCACAAAGTACCGCAATGTTTATATTGACACCAGGAAAACTAGGGAACAACTACAGCAGGAATATCTAGTACGCTCTCTCAGGAAAATGACCGGTTCTCCAAAATGACTATCAACCCCCCCCACACACACACATTAGGATTGTGGATAAATTATACACAAAGGCATAACAACTGACATGTGTATTTTGCCTTGGGTAACTTTAATTCAGTAATACCCTTGTTTACATCCAGTCGATCTTGGATATTCGACAACTGCATATTGCCTATGTACACGATTATGGCATCAATTAGATTGTAAGTTATAGGCTAATAAGCTTGTTTCATCGCAGAACTACTGAACCAAGAAAAACCATAGGATTATATTTTGTAAAGAAAAGAAACACATTGACTTATTTGTGCGACTTGAGTAATAACTAAAAACATTTGACTCATTTTTGAATTCATATGGCACAGATTAATGTCGACATATATGTACACAGTAATTAGTTTGATATTTAAACTAATAACATAGACTCACCATTTAATCATATCGAAACTGGACAATCAATGGACTGAATCGAACAAAGAAATTGCAACAATCACAGTAAATTCATTGATATAAAGTGTCTCATAAGCCGGAGACGGCTGGGGGCTATTGCCTGTTTTGTAAATCATATGTCTCATATATTGTATAGCCTGTGACACTATAATAAATATTTAACTAACTAACTATAATATATACGGTAACTAATTCTATACTTACAAATAAAACGACCAGCACTGGTGTGATGTAGATGAAATGTATTTGTGAGTTTTTCATTGGCAACCAACATCTGTAATTACATAGTAAAGCGTTATATTGATGTATTTTAATCCACAAAAATAGAATCAATAGTGATAGCATGGGGGTACAAATTTCAAACAAAAGCTATAATTTGATGATTTTAGAACAAAGGACGTTTCTTCATGGATATGAATATTTTATTCTGTTTTGATCAGAATAGATCTTGTAATTATGAAAAGGTATGCGTTTAAATCAAAGGTTATATTTCTTGTGATGTAATTTATGATATTATATTTGTTGACCCAATTTGACGTCATCACAAATTTAGACACATGCTAACCAATCAACATCAATTCAACACTTTGTGATAAACTGCTTCTCCAAGACGTTCCCATGCAGTGGCACAAACATTTACTAAATCACAAAACCTAGAGAGTGTGCATGGCACATCGACAAATGACTGACACTCCAAGCCTTAGCAAAATTAAGTTATTGTATCAGTTTATAGATGTCATAGTTGTTTTGTCGAGCCTTCAGGAGGGAGGCACTGAAAAGATGAGGGAAACCCCAAGAGCTCAGAGATGACCCCATATTTACCTTTCTTGCTTACCACCTTCGATTGTCAAAATTTCCTCCATCTAATTTTTAAATTATCACACATCAATTTTGATGTTTTAATCGATGGGAACATATTCCTTACATATTTATATTGGCGTGAAATTGGTAAACACATCAGCAATTAACATCACATTCAACTGATTATATTATTCGAAGCGTTTTACATTTTGCATTAAGGATTTAAGCCCTGGACTCAGTGCGTTGCGTGCTGAATCAGTCCATCGAAGGTGTTTTTCCAAATCTTTGAATTATTTCAATTGCGCAGTGGGAATGCAAAGTTTAGGAAACAACGACTGAGTTGAATGAAGCAGCCACAATGCATTTCAATGAAACTTTTTGCACGTGGTCAAGTTGGCAAAGCATCAATTTCAATCTGTAGGCCAAGTTCTCACTTTGACAGTCATACAACAAATGCGTTATTGTTGGTTATATAACGGAATGCAGTTCCGTGAAATAGCGTGTTCTGATTGGTTGGTATTGGACACACCTTGCCTACATTTTGTTTTTATTAGCGTCTATGTCATTTGACCATATGATGAGGGTCATCTCTATTCGGAAAAATATCCAGTGAAGTTGAGGTTATCTTTGAACTCTTTGTTTTCCCTCCTCTTGAGGTTCAATATTGGTATATTTTCGTTAAACCATGGTCTTAATTTTTAAGCAATATATACATGTGCATGCCCCTTCTGCTTGAACAAGATCCCCGGGTGTGCAACTTTTGCACCATGGAACACTCAGGTGCAGTAGAATATCTAAATAGAATATATCAATATATTCAAGCAGTGGTCCAATTAAAGAAAAATCTTTCATTTATGGATAAATGAGCCTTAATTTTCAAAAACACTTGGGTAGCCCAGAACAGTTGGGCTTCCAAAAACGTTCGTTCCACACTGGATGTTGTTTCTAGGAGACATAACCTGCAATTATATATAGGGTGTCCATAAAGTATATTTCCACTTTTCACAGACTTTGTATTGTAATTGTAAAGAGACAATATGGACACCCTGTATTATAGTGAATATGCATCGGTCACAAGCTACCGCAAATACGCCATCTATTAATAATAAGCTGCAAAGATGCACCACCGAATCGATCATTTCATTGACATCAGATAGAATTAGAACAATGGCACAACTAATTAAGATTCATGCAAGTATGATGGATCACTACTTACTCAATAATGTCATAATAGCGGGCTCTCACCGTAGCCCATGCTATGATAAAGAAAGTTGGAAGACCTATAAGCAAATATTTGTAAAAACCGAAATGATATAGCTGTCTAATATACAACCCCTCCCCCTCATAAGTCTATCAACCGAAAAGTCACATTGGACAGTGTGTTTAACCATGTTTATGTTTGAATCTTGTTACACAAGGTCTGCACTTAATGATTTTGGTGAATTTGTAAAACGCCAAACATAAACAAGCATACACTGGTTTAAAATGACGCTTTCGATTGCCAAACCTTTGAAGAGGATTGTAAGTTAGGTTTGCTTCTGAAAACAGTCTCCCCGATTCATCTTGTCTCATTGACTATTTCTTAGATATTTTGTATTTTCAAGACAAAGGTGGGTCGAGGAAACCTAATTTTTAGAAGCTTTTAAAACTGGAGTAGTTTTTATATACTTACACAGTATCCTCAATTTGAGATTTCACACAGATCCATAATATTATAAAAATAATAGGGATTCCTGCAAATACAGGTATTTGGAAAAACATGTATACAAAATATGTTATAGGGTAATGTTTTTGGAGTCACTCTGTACATAACCTCTAGCTGAGCACTCGTCAAATTATTGTTTATGTATCAAAGGATGGAGTCATCGTTTGCCATTTTATAACTACTAGTACCTCAATACAAATGGATGAGATGGTTATTTTACCCAAGGTGTTAGAGATCTGATATATTGCAGACAATACATCACAGTTTAATTGCATGAACCTAAAAGTAAATATGTTCAATGAAACAATACATCCTTCCAATGATTTACCTATATGAGTATGTCAATATACATCTCTACGGGCATCAGTTATTGAACTTTGTCGTCTTCACTGGCTATTGCATCAGATTTCAAAACAAATGTCTTGAATTATAAATAATATATCTCAATTGTATTTTATATTACAGATAGCATCCATATCATAGATATTCTCGTATTTAAAAAGTGATCAACAACTCACCCCATCCTATCACTGCATAGTGCTTAGTTTTTATGTTGCTCGACTTGTACGCCCATACTATCATCATATGCAGGTAAAGGCCTTCTACGAACATCCAGAAAAAATTTGTGGTTTGTAGATAGTTAAATACTGCGATGATAGCTTTACAAATCCACTACAAATTCAAAAAAAGTAAAAAGAAATGAGTATTAATCTGATTGTTAAAGGCCCCATGTAAAGTTTAAACCACTTTGGCTTATATTGTAGTCTTACCCAATGTTATCAAAGTGTGATATGTGAAACTTTTTTTTTAATTTCAAAAAGTGGTTTTTGATAGACTTTTTGTTCCAAAATTTGTGAATTTATTTAAAACCAAATTTTAGAGGTCACTCATATCTTCTAATTAGCCACAATTCATACCAATGCATAGCATACATCCTCCTATGTTTTTTGCCGAAAAAATTAAGAAAATTGGTTGATAAACAAGCGAGAAATGAACTTATCAGTGCATGAAAATGGTTCTGAGAAAAATGCATTTCAAAATTTTAGTTCTCATAGAAACCAATGGTACAATGATATCTAAAACATAATTTATTCTTCCTTTTAACCTGGTTAGACAATCAACATTGTTTTTTATGAAAGTCTAGCATATTTAGAAAAGATTGACATCGAAAAAAAAAATTCAATTTTTTTCAAAACGTTTTTGTTACCTTAGTGACATCACTAATGTTTCAAAATATTTTTGATAAGCTAAAACATTGAAGTGGCCCATTAAATATGACATTTTATTATTGAAATAGTGTGCCTTTTGTTCAATCTTTGCATTGGTGTTAAAAATATAATCTTTTTTGAAATGCATTAAGAAATATTTGATGATTAAGAAATTTCAACTTTTTTTGAAAAATGGCGGGAAATTTGAATATTTGAGAAATGAAATGCTTACAACTTTTTTTTCAAAAAAATTTTTTTGTTCAAAAATCTCTAAAATCACTTTTTAAGTCCTGACAAATAGTAAATGAATGATAAAAAAATATTTTCAAACTTTAGACGGGGACTTTAAATAAATTTGGAGATGCCATACTGGTAATAAAGTATAATGTCTGAATGCATCGAACCATGAATAATGCTTGTTCCGCCTAATTCATCCATTGTATTTACACCAGATCAGTGATGTTCTTTTGGGATTTGAAATGTCCAATTATGATATATCGTGTTTACCTAAAAGTGAGTTATCTTTGAGACTTCAACCATAGAATGTAAATTATGTGTTTCCTAGTGAACCCGTAATGGCATTAGGTCATGCTGCTTTAATAAACCTAACTCATAAATATTGACAAATGTAAGTTTGTAACTAGTAAAGTATATCCGTGAAATATGTATGATTCGTCTCCTTTCATCTTATATATATTAATCATATGTGGATGTGTTTTTGTTTGATGTTAAGTACTTTATTTATTTTCATTGGGGGTAATGAGGTAAATAAAATGACTGACTTAGTGTACATATTTCATTCTTATTATTGGATTTTGATAGCAAATAGAAGGCTTACATTGACTGAAATCAATCAAAGATGAAAGCATGAAAATGGAGATATAGACGTGTATATATTCGTAGATGATATAAATGACAAATATGACGAGCAATGTGACAAATGAGGATGCACGAAAGGAAAATTGTGAAAACACGGTCATAAAGTTAAATAGATTGAAATATAAATAGATTTGTCATAGTCATGACATGGATATTTATAAAGTGCTTACCGTTGGAACAATGCCATCGTGTGTGGCTTGAAGAATGTTGTTCATGATAATCCAGAATACATTTCGAAGAATGAAGGTCATTATCAGATGACAGTGAATTGTGTTCCGCAGACATCGTAGACTCCTTAAAGAAAGCAAAGTGTATATGAATATTATAAAATGTATATGCAACCAAATGTCATCATGATAAACCATGACATCTCATTTCTTCTCAGCCCTGAGAGATGTTTCAGGTGAAACAGAAAGATGCTATGAGTATCAGAATGCCTAATGTACTTGACAATGATTCCTGGATATTAGGTTAAGGGGCTGAGACATTGGTTCCTTGCGATTTAGATCATAATTTAGAATAATAGTCCTTATTTCCTCATAATAGTTGTGCTGAGTTTTGTTATTGCTCCTCATACTACTACTGACATGTGTACATGTTGGACGCATTTTAGTTTATGAAAAATAGTGGAGGGATTGAGAATGGGTTTTATACCGAGGGTCAATATAATATTTCTTGATGGACCAAAAGCAAAACTAGATAACAGCAACGGCAAGGCGTAGCAAATCCCCTCGAACCGCCATGGCTGCTATTTTTGGAAATGGAGTGTATTATTTCAACAAAATTGCTGCCCTAGATTTTCAGTTAAAACAAAAACGTAAAATAAAACGTAAAAATGTCATTAAACAATAGATTTACTAATATGATCTTTGGTCATAAGCAATCGTTGGAACTGTTGCATTATTGCAAAGGTGATATAGGTAGGAAAACAACAATGAAAATAACAATAAGAACATAATCAGTTTCGATAAACTTCCGTAAGTTTGTCGACCGGAATCTTCATCGGCTAGGGTATCAAAGACCATCATGATCAATGCTTGAATCTTAATTTTGTTTCTTATATAAATCTATGAATTTGATGATTTTCATATAAACATATACTGTTTGTCTCAACCAAACTTAAAACCACATACCGACGTTTAAGCAATTTCAAACTCTCATAGTTTTTTGGAAGGAACACGTTATGTTCCGAAACGTCAATAACTAAGTGGCTTAGTTTGCGACAAACAGTATTAACTATTCACATATATATCTCCTACCCACATTCAGTAATGATTTTTTTTAAATCACATTTATATAAACAGGCTTTACAAAATGCATGAGCTACTCTGTTGGTCTAATAGTATTGTTTAGTATATTTTTGCAAATACCTTATTAACATCTAACAGTCATCCGATAAACCATTAATAAAGAACGGACGTATAAAAACAAATAACATAATCAATAGTAATACTATTAAGCCGAATGGTTGCTCATGAACACCAAATGCAAGGTATAGTAGAGTGAGTGTACAATGATGGAGCAATAAATGATAATATTACATCCAAAGCTGACATAATCAACATGTACGCAGGGTTTTATGAGCTGTTCTCCTCTCTGGTGATAGAACTGTATTAGGTCGATAACCTGTCATGTAGGGAAATGTTATATAGGACAACACTAGGTTCATTTACTCACTTGAAATGGCAGAAGATTGACAGGGCTATAATCAGAGTCAGTGTAGAAAGGCTATATCCAGCGTAATATATAATCCTCACAGTTAGTGTTTGTGTCTCAAACTTCTAAAAAACAAAACAATTAAATTGGGTCAAGCCTTAGAGAGCAATACAGGCGTTTTTCAACTTAATTATCTTCTTTACAATATTTGAAAGTAAAAATCTTAATTAATATTATGTCAAGTATTTAAGATTGCAGGGATCATAATAATTACTAGATATATACATATAATATGTGGAACATGGCTGAGATACCCTCAAAATTCCAAGGGGACGATTATCTGTGTTGTGTAGCCCACCTATCCATCTATACTGTACCTGTCCATACGAGACACAGATAAATATATTTTACCTGTCTGCCGGGGATACAATTGTAATATTGTCACTCATAAAAGTGAATGCATACATAAAGTTAGAGGAAGCAGAACTAAAACTAAGATATATTGTAATATCCTAAAAGCATATTTATAAGTAATTGTTACCACAAATAAGAACATAAACTTATTTTTCTTTTTAGTAAGATTATGTGCATATTCATTCAGATATATACATTTGATACACTAGCAAGGGGTGTAAAACTTCTAATAAAACGTTTGTATAAGACGACACCTGGTTGTTGTTATACCCAATTATACTACTTTCATTCATACATGTACACTCCCCTCCATAAGTTTGGCAACCGGCAAACCGAGTTCCCATTGGATACCAAATCAAAATCTGTCAGTATGTGAATCTTAATTTTGTTCTTTCATTTACAATAGTTCGGTTTATGACAAATTTGATGGATTCTTTTAAATCGCCATATACAGACAGACTTTGATAAGTGATCCAAAACGAGACTTCCGGTTGCCAAGCTTACGGAGGGGAGTGTACAATATGTCTTATTAGATTTTTTACACTGTGACATTTAAAACGCAGAGGATCCCTAATCCTTTTATCTAATATAAACCCCTATAAAAGCTACCTCATTACAGTTTCGTTTATAACAGATACATGTGTATGTACTGTAGTACAATTATTCGTCACTCCCATTTCCAGTTAAACATGAACGTAACCAACCCCATTGAATGCCATCCACGACATCCCTCAAATCTTAAATATGGTTAGTTGAACTATAAAAAGCGATTACTAAAGCGGCTATGTATTTTTAATTTCCATTTGAAATTCTATGCAAGCGGTCATATCTATGCAATTTATAATGTCTTAAAATTCTATAAAATTGGGAGACGTCCATTTTGCATTTTGAAATCGGAATACATCTATTTAAATGAATTATAAAATCTATATGTAAACAGTAAGGTGTCAATCAGACAAATCAAAGATCAAAGGAAATAAAATAGACAGTTCATATATGTAAATAAAATCAAAGTGATGATAAAACACTTATATTTACTTAATGGGTACTATAAGCATTGTCAGTGCTTTGACTTAAATCAACACTGATTTGTATCATGTGCACAACAAATTACCGGTCAATATTGATTTATGTCAAATGCTTTTTTGCATATTGGGTAAAATGTATATAGGCTAATTTACTGTATCAGATCAAAATGCAAAATGTGTCGTTGAAAGGTATGCAATTTACTGTTCCTATTACGTTACCTTCAAGAAGACATCTAGCTAAAACAATTAATGCAAACAACGTCACTGATTGAACCTCACACAATCTTATTTTATTTCTATGCATTTATGCATTTGCTGTACTCTTACAACTCTTCAAAATAAACGTATAGGTCCTTTAGATGTCAATTTAACGACAATTTGTAGTCTTTTGAGAGGTAAGGGGCAATTTGAGATTACATACTTGTGTTTGTGATTGCAGTGTGTACCTCATTTACGATTAGGATATCATCTTATTTAGTGGGCATTGACATGATTGTTTCCTTTCACTGTTGATATATGATATTGTGTTTATTGAACAATTCATTGTAGTATGAACCTTTTTTAGAAATTCTATATTCCCTAAGGTGATTTATTTCCCAATGGTAATACTGTTGTTAAAGAATGGTATCTCACCTCGTCGACCATTCCACCGATACCCTCCACACAGGGCTTGTAGTCAGATAAATGCTCCCAGGTACCGTTTGGTAGACAAAGGTGTGTCGCATTTTCTATAATTGTAGAATGGTTTATATACACACAGGCACGTTATTGTACCATGGGTCAATGCAGTAGTGAGTTTACAACAGTATGGGGCATAAGATGAGAAGAAATGTAGCATTTAAAGATTAACATTCTAAAAGTACAATTTACAAGAGGAATAATACATACAGGAGACATTAATAGAAAATACAGTGAGCAATTAGCTGAGGAACAGACAAGAACATATAATTAGAAATACACTAATGACAACTTTTGAAAAGAGAACGTGTCAATATTTGTGAACAAAACAGCGACGCCAGTAAAATGGATGATGACATCGATGGATTTGCGAGTCTGTCATATTTCTGATGACATTCGATTCACCGTAATATATTCAATAGTACAATCAATAAGATTTAAGAGAAAGGCTTTTATTAATTAATGGTATTGAAACAAAGTTAAAAGTATAGCGATTTAGCCACTTTTATCAAATTAATTCAACACTACTTACTTGTAGACATAGACTTGACGACACTGTATTCCTCAGACGTAGGCGGACATGGTGCAGTTGCCAATTGCCCCCCTAGAGTTGTGGGCCAGCAGGTCACAGAGTCCCATGAACTGTTGCAGTATACTTGTCCCTCTTCTGTAAATATAATGAAAAATATTGGATTTGTATTCGTTTATAGTTATAACATCGCGAGTGTTCAGTTATTGCATCTGGTATCATTTGTCCAAATCCAGTCCGAAGCACACTCGTCCTTATCCAGTCGTACGAATCACAATTATCCAAATTCGGGCGATTGCAATTCGGATGAATTGGTTGCGGAATGGGAATCAGACCAAGGATGCGCACTTGTACACACATCCCAAGTTTGAAATACAATCATATGTTCGAAAGAGTAGTGTTATAGAAACTGGGTCAAAGCAACAAATACATGTATTTTTAATTACAAGTATTACAACTGACTCAGATCAGTGTAAAAACTGTATAACAAGTTGCAGTGCATTAGAAAGAATTTTTAAACAAACAATTACAGGAACACTAAAGTTGGTCATATTCTACTGATTGACACTAGGCCATTTAAAATACTATACACTCTCGTTCTCTCAAGTAAGTTGTTTCTCTGTAAAAATTAATGTTAGTCTAATAGATTATTTTAAGAGGCAAATGCCAATTTCAATTCACAATGAATTATAACAAGCTGTGCAAGGGGCAATCTCATTTCCCTTTTCTTCTCCCAGAGGTAGATTTTAGAATGAATCGGTTCGTTAATGACACTGTCAACAAAAATGATAACGCCACACAGTTCAGCAACTTCTAGCAGAAAACGACGAAATTAAGTTCTGCCTGGCAGAGGCCGTATCCAAAGATGCTCGGAATCAATTCTGGTCAAAATGCAATGTAATTTATCACGGCAATGAGCGCAGTGAGAAGCTCTCTAGCGTGGGGATACATGATGTTCTTATTTCCGAACCATGCCTCTGCAAATGATAAAGATGTCCCATTTATCATGCTATGTCAGTATGATATAGACCTAAAACTAAAAATGAGTCAGAATGAATATCTGAAACTAGTGTTTACAAGAAAGCGGATGTTTTGCTTTAGGTGAACCTGTGAACGTCTACATGTATGGTTATGGCGTTTATTTCAACAACGTGGTGGATAGAATAGGATGATAATTGTACGTCATTTTCAAGAATGACAAGTACCAAATTAGAGTACAATTTAATGAAAACTTGGAACATAGCTTTCCTGATGAAACCAACATACTACAGGAGTGCATGCGTATTCTCCAGAACGAAAACTATATTTTTATAAATACTAACGTTAGCTAATAATTAGTTAACAAGCAACCATGACCTTAGTTCGTTTGGCATTTTTAACAAATCTTCCTTTTGGAACAAAAGTATTTTATATCAATTTATCAGTAACTATCCAAATGTATCCATGAGTAAAGTCATTTTCTGGCTTGCTTCTAGCTAATTTGACAGAATGATAGATTCGGTCCCTTCCCAAGCGACGATGTCAATTCCTAGTTTGATTAAGAAGCAAATGGGTATCTTGAAAATTATACGTCGACTGATAATGGAATAACACTGCAAACCCTCTAGCAATCCCACGATATCAAACCACACATAATTAACTTTTACTTAATTTCCGATTCATATCTACAGTAGGTATAGGCCTTTTTACGACATTTGATCTATTTGATTTCTGACGTTCTTTTGAAAACTGCAGTGTACAGTACGTATTGATATCAGAAACTTTATCTGTGGGTTAATCCATTATCTACAAAATGCAGATTCAAAAGTGGAATATTTGACAAAAAAAGTTTTGGGCGAACACCAAGAAGGATTGGCTCCCAGCATTTCCAACAATGAAAGCGTCGAAATGTTGTTATTGAAGTGAACAAAATTGTGAATTTTGTATCACGACATGCATTCTTGAAAATTCATTCCTGTCCATTCATATGGGACAGAATATCCATGTTGCACTCTGGGAGCCAATCCTCCTTGGGCGAACACTAATAAGCAAGTATATAAGTTATTGAATGATTTGAAGAACAATACAGGATATATTCTGCTCAAAACGAAGTCGAGTGCCAATACAGAATATCGAGACAGAATATATCATAGTGCAATTGCACTTCAAATCATTCTATAACGTTTTTATCGTGTGATCCTCTGTATTGCTACTGAGAATGTACCCTCCGTCCCGATATTTTCTGTATTGTGACAGAGATGATCAATGGGGACAATCTCAGTAGCAATACAAATTGGTACAATACAAGAACTAACCAATCATTAAGTTAACATTTTCGTTTTGGGAAAAGGTTGTGGCGAAAATAAGAAAGAGGTTCAGACCATAGCTTTGACATAACGATACCTCGTAGCTTTACTGTATGAAATAACAAGCTAAGTTAGAGCAGCTCGGCCAGGCATGATTGATTTTGATTTATAATCCTTCATTCTGACATGTACTCATCATATTCCCGTTTTTCAAACTGTCAAGAAATCTGGAAGCAACTGATAGAAGGTTGTTCAACTCCAATTGAAGGATTTTATTTCCTTTGACCTCAATTTTCATCCGTTATTTTAGGATTCTGGTTGCAGCACTATAGATCTGTTGCGTAATAGTAACGGCCCGACTGTGTAGTGAAAGGGAGTGTCCTTTAATTCAATGGCTAACCCCGGGCTGGCGCCATCGTCACCAAGACAAGATATACTCTAAGGCGACTCATCCCACGTCTGACACCAATGTAGCGACCAGAGACCTCTCCGGGGAGCTCTAGGATAACAAGCCAGATATTGACACAAGGAAGGGTGTGCTAAATTCAATGCCCTATGCGGGAATCGAACCAGGATCTTCCACTCCATACATTGATGCTTTACAGCTGAGCCAATAGGGACTAGCCGCTACAAATGGGCTGTAGTAGCAACTTGCTATCGAGGGTCGTTACGGTATCAATAGACCAGACAACAAGCCAGACCTTAAACATTGGAGAACACAGACGTGAGGTTTCAGGATTTCAAGATTAATTCAGAGAGACCCTATATGTCAACGTGACACCATCTCCGTATATTGAGGACTTAGAGGGGCCGTATAGAAGGATTGAGGCATTTCTTCCTTCATGTGTGCTATTTCCTGCATGCTATATTCAAAATGAGAAACCCAGATGATAAATATATCAAAGAAAATGGTCTGATAAGATCTCTAAAAGAGTTTGTGCCAAATCTCCATTGATCAATTGATGTTACTTCTCAAAACCTTGGTTTATTCACTCAACAACCAAAATCATAATTAATAACAATAGGTACATTAACAGAATCAACCCATAGCATGCCATTTGAGTTTTAGACAGATTCAACCAACACTTTTTGATTAATCATGAAATAAAGTGAACATTGCAAGTTTTTACCATTGAAGCCCTTGGCAGTCTGGTTCAACCAAAAATAAATAAAAAAAATGCTGGTGACATCTATTATATAGCTTTATTCAGCTACATAGCAACTCCCTTATTAGAAAATACGTTTGTTCACGTCACACCTTTTAATTTTCATATTTCATCTTTCTGGTAGCTTTATTCACTTTCAATAGTAAATAGGTAAATACAAGACATAAGAACAATTTGATTATATTATTTATCCGGATAAATTGAGTACACTTTATGACCCTGATAACACGGTGGTTGAGAATTTCACAGAGTCCAGGCCATCTGCTGTGAAATATAGAATGGCTATAATGTGTTCTGATTGTTCCAAAATGATTATATCATGCCTAGCTATAAGTAAATTAGTTATAAATGTTTTATGAAATGCATGTTATCAATTTCAATTCTAGCTATAACAAGTGATATTGGAACTATCAATTTACCAAATAAAGCAAATAGTACAGTATGTATTACAAGTGTCACAACAGTGTCAGGGTGTTTGCTACCGAAACGGTAAGATGTGATTAATATCAGAAAGAATGTAAAATGAAAAAACTTGGAAAACTGATAAAGCCGCATCGTACAATCAGTAGAGTAAAATCACTCACTTACACTAAGAAAAACTAAGAAAATAAGATCGCTTATATGAAAATATAGAAGGTATATATTATGCTATGGTAATACAATATCTCCTGAATTTATCTTTCACAGATTGTGCTAAATCTAGCATTTGATATAGGGGTGACAAAATTGCTTTGTTTGTTACCAAACTCAAAAACATCCATGATGTCTTTATCAATTACAAAAGACATAATGTATAACACAGAAATACTAGACGAAACTGGGATTTCAAAAATAGACATCAAAAGGAATGAATTTTGTGCAAAAGACATTGGAAGATTATTTTCGAAAAGTTGCTCGCTATTTCTATACCTTTAATAGTACATCAAAAAGATTCTTGAGTGTTACTAGAGCAAGATACAAATCTACAATCCAGTAGCAAATACTGAAACATCTTTTCTTTGATCCACAGACAATACGGTTGAGCCATCCTTTATCTAGTTTTAATACAATTGTAAACCGTGAGACTTTACTCGATGCAGCGGATATGTTTTGTCGGGACAGAAAATCGAAGATAAAATGCAACAATTTCAAATTAGAATCTTATACGATTTCAATGCTAGATCGATATATAGTTGAGAATATGAAAGACATTGTGGCTTTAATAAACATCCATGGTAACCCTAGGATATGATATTTTATGAAAAGACATTAAACATGTCTGATCAATGTGATTTTTTCTTAATAACTGGAGATTTTATTTGAGAATACTGCAGATGAAATGCCGATAAACTCTGAAAAGTATTATTTAAAACAACATAGAAAATCAATTATATTCACAATGCGATCAAATCTGTGACAGGTAACACATCCAATTAACGAATGAAATAATTGTTTAATTATTCAAATAACCAATGATCTTGAGAACTCTTTTCCGACTCCATGTATGGTAGCATGTAAAATGCCCATTTGCCGCTTTGTATAAAAATTAGAATACCATTTGCGAAAAAGGTAACGATTATAATTAAACCATAAATTAGGTCAATTGAATGTTTTTCAAAGAAATATTAAAATACAATATCTCAAAACATGAAATCGGCATTACCCTTTGCGTTTTAAAGCGTGCAGAACGTAATAAATAAAAGAAATC